TTAAAACCGTCTTCTCGGTTGAAATTACGGTGTTTTTTAATTTCAGTAGCTTCATCTACGTTTCTACTATAGCGATGACGTTCTATAGAAAGGATCTTGGGCACTTGGGGCTAGGTACCTTTAACAGCTACTAGCGGCTGAGCAGAGGTGTAGCTTTATTAATTCAAATATTTATTTTATTGAATATCATGAGGTTTCTTTCGCATACGCGTTTTTGTACTGATTATTGTTGAAAAAACTTATAAGCTTCTTGCTCAATTATATTATTAAAGTAAATAGTATCTGAAAGAGCTATAATTTAATTAATTAAAATGCTAACGACAAACATTATTACGTTTACTACATTTTACACCACATTTCTATCTACGTCCTGAAAAATTACATGGAAATCGCACACGAGGTATTCACTCTAAGCGTCCTTAGGTATTCACTCCTCGTGTAACTACACGAGGAGAAAGTTTTCGCGCGGCCGCCGCGTGGTGGCCGCCCAGTTACCACGCCTTCATGTACATTAATGGCGAATCTGAGTTCTATTTACTAGGTAACAACATTCAAATTCCTCTGCATAATACAACAGCGCGGCCGCCGGTTAGACCAAGACAAGCCAGTCTCGCCCGCGCGTCTGAACCGCGGTTGTCGTAGTATTATCATATTTGACGGGGTTGAGTTGAACGGAGAAAGTGTGGTCCTAGCAGTGAAGAACTTCTTAATATGATAGTGACAATTTCTTCAATTTCCTCTTATAGGTGCAAGTGGCCTCAGAAGAGAAGCTGACGCTGATGTCCCGCGCGGGCGAGGCGCTGGCGCATGCTGCAGACCTCGAGCGGCAGTTGCAGGATGCCCGCAACCGTTATACGCAGCTGGCCAGGGATCGGGAGAGAGATGTAAGTGGCACTTCGCTGAATCTAAAAAACTGGACTATTTGTCGCTTGGTAGTGGAAAAATTTCCATTTTGAAAATATCACATTGTTCAGAAAAATAAATATTTTTCCGGATGTCTTTTCTTTAATTTTCCACATTTGAAGTTGACACCTGTCAAAAGTTGAAGTTACTGAACGAAAACGATGTAGCCAACAACAAGTGGTGGCGGTGTGGTGGTTGGAGGGTCTTTTTTCGCTGTTGTGAAATACTTTTAAATCTCGTTTTCGTTACGTGGCTTTTCGCTACAACACAGTCGGATTGAGAACCTCCTCCTTTTTTTGAAGTCGGTTAAAATAGAATATTAAATCTATAGAAAATCTAAAAAAAATATGCGGAAACGGTGAACAGGCAGCCAGGAAATAATTGAGAATTGTAATTCGCAGGAATCAGAATGGAAGCAATTCCAAAGTGACCTCCTGATGACAGTTCGCGTAGCGAATGACTTCAAAACTGAAGCCCAAAGAGAACTAGAGCGTCTTGTATCTGAGAACAAGATAGCTAGAGACCGCATTCGACATTTGGAAGACCAAATACATTCACTCAAAGGTAGGTGTGAAAGAGAAATATGCACTGCTGTAATCACAGAGGGAGATGCATGCGTGGTGTTTACATCAGAGTGAGTTCGTTGATCGATGTTTAATTTTAAAGGGGACACACAACACGTTGGCACTAAAAAAATTATATATCTCTAAATTATATATCATTATTATTTTTTTAATTACACAATATAGCTAAGATAGAAACCTACTCCAATTTTCAACTTGAATAGTGTGATAGCTAAAAACTCTTGGGAGATTTTTGTACGTACAGAATAGTCGTGAGATCAAAAATATTTGAGAGCGAGAAATACATTTGATCTAGTCCTGTGTCGGTTGATCAATCCTGACTGATTGATTCGATCGTATTTTCGATCATCTATCACTCGTCACTCACGATATTAAATAAATAAAAAAAAGATAAATTTCGTACCGGTCCGATCGATGATCCACTTACAAAATTATGTGATGATTTATTAATCCGTGATTGAATTTCGGTCGAGAGAATTCCATCGAATGAATGGTCTATCGTACAATTGTTCGACCTAAACGAACTAAGTGAGATGGCGGACTGGAGCTTGGGGACTAAACGTAAGAATGAACGAGACGAGACGATCTTATTATGGTATGATATTATTGTCAATTGCAGATTTAAGTGTGATGTGAATTGTTGAAAAACCTCTAAAATTATGAAGTCCAATTTTGCGACCATTACCCGCGCTTAGGTCAAACATAAATGATCTAATCTTCTAGAGATCCGCGACCAGGGTCATCTGATTATTTTAATTCCATCGAACACGATCGACACAGCTCTAATTTGAACGAATTTCACAATGTTCCAAAAATGTGCCCAGAAATTAAGCAGGCCTTGTATTAATATTATGCCTTATTATGTATATACATACATTAATGCTTTCATCTAACTCACTCCTTTGTAATATTTGAAAGTAGAATTTTAATTCTCTATATGAATAGCATAAATTGTTTTGAAGTCGAGTTTTTAGTTCTGTTTCTACATCACAGTAGTGAGTGTGCATGTGGTAAGTATATTGAGATGTAAATAAATATAATTAATAAGTTATGTTCTTCAACAGCAGAATTAACTTGCATTATCATGCACTAATTCTGTGTAAATAGCGCCTCCATAGACAGTGAATGTTGTTTGTGGTCTATATCAAACTGGTCATAGAGACAAATTAAAGTAAAAAGAAACTTATGATCTTTCATTGGTAATACCAACATATCCTTGTATTTTAAACGAATGCGTACATTTCTAACGCGTTTCTAAGTGCTTTAAAAGTAATATTTCATTTTATTAAAATCTGCATGTACAATTTTAGTGGTAAGGTCTATGGAGGCCAAGCTTCGAGTAATTTAACCGTACAGTCATACTAACTACTGTACAGTGATGTTAATGATATCTAATCAAATATTTGCCAAAACAGGTGATGATAACACGAGGGAATCCATCGAAATTTTTAACTGTTCCGATGATGAGAAAGTTACACAGGAACCAGAATTTGAATTGCTAGATGATTCGGATGATATATTCACAACTATATGCCATAAGTATTTGTCTAGGGTTCATAGTGCCTCTGAACCTATTGTAAAGGATACCAGCGTTGGTGACCAGACTAAAGCCGAACTGAAGAATGATTTTAAATATATCCAGAACGATAGAGTGATGATTGCCGTAGCAAATGTGACTGTTGATGAAACGAATGATGATGACAGCAGTAGAAGTCATGTAGAAAGTTCTTCGGATAATAATGATCATTTTCAAAGCAGAATTTTGGCCGAAGTCGTTCTACCTTCCTTTGAAAACAAACTGTTTAAAAGGCAAAACGCTGTTGACGTTTGTCGAGAGAAAAGCAGCCGACAGGACGCAGTAGATATCTCAAATTCTGATGATTCAAGTGAGGAAACAGGTGTGAAAAAAGAAATTAAGTTCATTTCAAAGTCCCAATCCAGTAACGTAATCATAGCTAAAGATAGAACAATATTTAGCACAAGTCCGTCGGGAATGTACAATGGTAAACCAAAATCATTCAGCTTGGAGAATTTGCATAAAACAAATGAGTTTGAAGATGTTTTGAAAGAGGCTACTAGTATAGAATTTTATAATTTAAACAACAATTATAGCGAAACGTCATTATACACTGAAGGCTCTGACAATGTTTTTTTATCGCCAGTAAAGAAACATTATGATAAAGGTCATGAATTTGGCTGTAGCGTTATAGTGCCTATAAATACCGACAGAAGAGAATCTGTAATACGTTCCGAGACACCAGTTAATAATGTAATTCGTACGCCATTGTCATTAAAACTGGATCATGATGTAAATTTGCCAGTTGTTAAAGCAGAATCTATTCTACCCATGGCCTACCCTGATGACATAAAACCTTTTCTACTCAAACCATCTACAGAGCCAGTTAAAGAAATCCCAGATTCAATAACTATTGAAGAGAACGTAAAACATTTTAAGAAATCGAACGACGATAAATTGACCTTGAAGTCGGCCTTTACGAAAATGATTGGAAGTAATAAAAATGAATCTAAACACAGACGATCGTCTTCGCCAGCTATGAAATTGAATGATACAGAGCCTAATATTGCATCGTTAAATAAATATGTCAAGGTTGATAAAAACATGAACACTATTGAAAATAATGACTCACAGAAAGCATTTAGTAGGCTTCATATTGGAAGACACTCTTCTCCTTCAAAATTAATGAAAGATAAACAGCCTGAGTCTCCTAAAATCGGTACTGTAAGCGAAAATCTTTTTGAGAACATAATTACTATTGATGTCGAAAATTCTCAAGAGACTAAACCGGGAAGTCATCCAGCAAAGCGTATTGGATTTAATAAATCGAGTAATTCTTCTTCTGCCATTCAGGTCAAAGAAACTCAATCTCCTAATAAGAATATTCTCAAAAGCTTTAATGAAGCTAGTGTTGTAGGCGGCGATGAAAAACCTTTATCAAGAAGAAGCTTCACCAAAGAGCCACGGGAAAGTAAACCAGAAATCACTAGCATGGAAGCTGTAAACGAAAATATTCAAAAAAGGACATCTATAAGTTCGCATAATGAAAACATACCTTCTGAACGGCCTAAAGAAACAACTTATTTGTTAGATGATGATATAATAACTTTGGACAGTTCTAATAAAGACGCTTTACGGACTAACTCTGGTGTTATTGATGAAGTGAAAGAAGAAAAGGTGCTTGCTGCTTCACCAAAGGCATCTGATGATCTTGTGACTAGTACTCCTCTTAGCACTAACGAAAAAGATACAGAAGCAATGATGTCTGAAAACATTGATACAACACAGGTTCATAGCCTACATACTCTAGAGTCGTATGTTAAGGATACAAGACAAAATTCAGAATCACAAGAAAGTGAAAACACATTGGTTAAACATTCACAAATAGTACGAGATAAAGCTGCAAAATCTATGGATGTAAAAGTTACAGAAGACTCCACTAAGTTGATTGATGTAACCACTTCCAAATACACAGAAAAGTCGGTCGAAGATAAAGCTGATAATTCTAAAATTCACGCAGAGAAATCTGAAGATAATCTTAAAGTTATGTCAGATGACATGCCTAAATGCAGCAATACTAATTCAAATCCCTTTTTGTATATAAATACTTTTTCTTCGCAATCAATAAAACCTAATGCAGTTGAAGCCCCGTTCGACGTTAGTTATCATTTAAAAATTAACACTGTTAACGATCTTGTGTGCCAAGATGTTCCTAGAGTTGCTATTTCTAAACCAAATGATGAAATTATTGCTACGACTCCAAAGACACTAGACAGGTCAAGGAATTTCCTCCCCATACAGATTATCAGCGGAAACTACTTAAATAAAACAGATAGAACACCGTCGCCGATAATAATAAGTCCAGTTCTAATACAACCGATTTTCTTTAAACAAAATTCTACGTTATTAGACTTTGATCGTAAACCAGAAAATAAAAAATCTAAAATTTACTACGATGATATCGATCAAGTCAAGTCATCGGAAAATAAAAGTCCAAAGGTTTCGGTATTACCAAAAGTGGACGAAAAGAAGACTAAAGGCATGTATCAAAAAAATATAAAAGGGAAAAACGTACCATTCATCTCTTGGAAAACTTTTGATTCGAACGGAAGTCTACCAGATTCTAAAATATCGTCTTCAAACAGAATTAGCCCCAGACCTGTGGAATCTCCAAACCCAAAAGCACTAAAATTGACAAAAACGCCAGAGTTTTTAATCGATAATCATTATTATCAACCGATGGAAAATGTTCCCTTTGTAATAAACACGACTCCAAATTTTACCAAACCAAAAGTACTGCAAACACAAATCAAAGAAATCAAACCTCATTTGCCAAATACGAATCCTTTCCTCCCAGAAAATCAGCCCATTAGAGATTCCGAAGAAAACTATTATGAGGAAATCGGAGAGCCAATGCTGATTTTTCAAAAACCAGGGAATAATATAGCTGATGACGAAAAAATATCAAACAAATTTCAAACCGCCCGAAATGATTTCTCGTCGGTAACTCGAGAGGAAATTCTCAAAGTGCCAAGACGTCCACGAAGACCTAAAAAAGAGGAAAAGCATGTTCTAAAAATAAACGTTGAAGACGCCACAGATGTTGTAAAACAAATGGCTGGTATCACAAAGTCGGTCATATCATTGTCAAGATCTCCGAGCGCTAAGGATGCAGAGAAGAAACATAGCGGACCAGTAGGCGCTATTGTGTATAATTTGGAGAAGAACGCTCCTCAAGAACGGTCGAGAAAGTTGTCTTTACAGGGGCAGAAAGCGCCTCAAACAGACGTGAACACAGGGTCGTTGCCGCGAGATCGGAAGCCGTATTGGAAGACTCAGGAACACAAACGGCTTTCGCATCCAATACGCTCTTTGAACGACCCTCCACCACTGCGGCCGCTACGTAAGTTGCCGATGGACGTGTGACATGTCAATAACTGTGGAAGACCCATAACGTGTTGTGTTCGATCGTTCTCATTTGGTGGAGGTGTGTGGTGGAGGAAGCTTTATCTTTAAGTGTTGAAAATAACTATATTTAATTTTGCTTCAGCATTTGCACAGCTTTTGTTTGATAGGCATCACGGCTTTTCTCATGGTAACCGGTTAAAACTTGTTAGTGAAGTATAATTGTTTTAGTATTAAGTTTCTTAGTCAACATTTCAGTATAGTATTCTTTCAGATACCCTTTTAGAATACTCTCATTTAGATATTCATAAATCAAAAGACCCTTTAATGACAAAGGACAAGAGCACATTAATATTATTGGTTTTAAAGCAGCACTCATTTGATCATTTTGATCGAACATAAAAAATACATCATACATCAAATTTTGTCTTAAGATACACTTATTCGATAATATCAAAACTATAAGAACCATTTGATAGACATTCACAAGCAAGATACAATCAGAGATGGGTAGTGGTTTAAAACCCAATGAACTCGCCCGGGTTTTTAGTCAAAGCGCGTGGTTTGAATACATTTTTGCCCAAAATCGGGGGCACAAACGAATACGGAATTTGGTATAATTCCATGTTTATTGGTAATTTCAATATAAATAATCTTTTTAGACGGAAAAAGAGGCAACTGCACGCAATACCCACCTCGTAATCTTAGGGACTCAAACTTACTACTAGGGATGCACATTATGATTAGATTTTTATGAAAATCGATTAAGTGTATACGATAACAAGTTTTTATATCGATTCATTTCAATGCGATTTTCAAGCGAATCGATTCAATACAAAGGCAAAATATGTAAGCAAAGAAATAAACATTTTGTAATAATATCAGTACATTTGAACAAAACGACGATTTACAAATATCTACTTGTAAATAGTTTCTGCCCTCGATTTCGAGTGTTAGTGGGTTTTAACCCTATTAAAACCCGACGTTAACAAAACGCTGGGTTGAAACTCGGGCGCTCATCTCTGGATACAATAAAATTTCCAATGCTTGAAGTCCACACTACTCTACAACATACACTAATATCTAGGAAATAGGTGAAATTTTAGTTAATAGTGAAAGTGTTACCTCAGCAATGCCTCCACGAAATGAAGAACCACCAGCGCCGCCACCGCTGCTAACCAGCGCATCACTACAAGACATCATGGCTACTGCAGCTTCGCATAGACGAACTAAAGGTGAATTTCACTTTTACATTATCCCTTGATTATCATAATAACTAGAGATGTGATAGTCCTTTCGGCAGTTTAGGACCACAATGAGAAATGACAATATTTTAAAATAACCACTTCTACAAATGACCACTTCTGAAATTGCCATTTCTTTAAATGCTACTTCAACAAAAGAACGCTTCTTGAAATGACTACTTCTTGCATAGACCATTTTTACAATTCAATAAGTTTCAACTTCGGATTGGAAACATTACCACAAGTTTGACGATGGACTTTTGGTAGTTGGGTGAACGCATACTATACAGGTGGTGCTGGTTTCGAATCTCACCGCTCCGCAGCAGTCCATACTGCCTCCGTGGCCAAACGGTTACCATGCCGGAATGCCACGCAGAGGTCTCAGGTTCGATTCCCGAGCCGGAAGAAATATTTGTATGGGCTACATTTATTTTTCTCGTGAGTTTGAGTGTAATTTGCTGTTATCTATGTGTGTCCATGGCACCCGCGACACAGGATTTCCCTAGTGCGGGGCTGTGTTGAGTGCGTGCTTTATTGTACTTATCGACTCGGCATGGGCTTGAGCCTTTGTTATTAAAAACGAAATAAATAAATTACTGACTAACTGGCAGGTGCCCGCGACTTCGTCTGCGTAGAAGTACTTCGTGTGGTCTACTCTGCCACTGTTAGCAGAAAGAGCGCATGTGACATTTTTTCAAAAAAATTATTATGTATACTGCCGTGATCAAAAAAAAAACCGATCTGTCACCATTTTTACTTTTTAGAGTTTGTTAAAGTAGATATTTTTTTAATTTCATTTAAGCATTATTTTATCGGTTTTGAGTTTTCGTCACAACCGCCCTTTCTATTAACGGCGGCACTACTGCACTACTTATTTGAGAAATTATTGATACTCCATACAAACTTTCATCCCCTATTTCGCCCCCTTTTAAGATTTATTTTTGTGACAAAAAGTAACCTATATCCTATAACCTAAGTCCCATCTATCTCCATATCAAAATTCATCAAATTTGGTTCAGTGGTTTAGGGGTAAAAACGTAACAGTAAGTTTCGCAGTTATAATATTAGTTTCGATAAAGTGCAAATATATTACATGTCCGAAGTAAGCATTCCAATTTATCGATAGTTTGAGATTGTATATCACGGCCCCTAAAACAAAAGTCTCCTGCATTCGTGACAACGGTTTTTGTTTTCTACTACCTACAATATTATTGTGTCCATATAAAACTCTGACTAAATATGTGTATAATATAGTAACCTATCACACAAACTCTTTTTTTTTTCGAAATGAACGTTTGTTCGAATTTTCATTACACCGAAAACCGAATTATAACGAAACCGTTGTTCTTTCACGATGTGTTGGATGTTTATTACTAAGGCACGATTAGGTTCGGTTAAATTAGGTTTAAAAGAAAAAAAACATTTTCCTCTCAAAATTACTATCGAGGTTACGAAAATTCAAGCAAACGTTATTTCTGGAAAATGTCATTTCGGACTACTGATAGGTAACCGTATAATATACCTTCAAAGTGAAACCATACTTATTTTGTATATGTCAACTACGGAATATCGTATAATTGTACTACAATTCAATCCAATTTCTCGTCACAGGTGTGAGTCGAGAAGACTCGAGACTATCAGTGAAGTCACTGATCGAGAGCATAGAGAACGCGGCCAAGGCAGCTAAGCAGTCGCCCGCCACCACCCCGGTGGGGGAATGGCCCCAGGTAAAATTTTGGTAGTTTCTCCGAATCATTATAGACCGAATAATTTTCTTATTCTAAATCGTACACATTCTAATTTGTTTGCACACGTAGCCAGTATCGGTAGCATATCTGTGTTGGGCGATTGAGTGAAACCGTCCAAGAACCGTGAAAGAGTTCGTTCAGAGAAGTGTTGCCACCTTACCTATTTCTGCCGCCAAGCATTAATGTGAACATTATTGTGTTCCGGTTTGGAAGGGTAAGGGTGAAATTACAGGCACATGGGATTTGTCAACTTATGTCTGAGGGTGACGAGGGCAGTGTCAGTGCCCCTCAAATCTTTGCGATTTAAAGCTCTAAGTGGCGTTGCAACTGCTATGGACATATCGACCCCTCCTACGTGAAGTATCGTATGTCGAAATTGCCAAGTTTATAGGGGAGCCTTTTAATATTTTCTGAATTCACTGAAATAAGCATAACACGTGACTACAGCATTTCTCACTTTTATTCGGCAATGCTCGTTTAACTGCCTCTGTGGCCGAACGGTTACCATGCCGGACTGCCACGCAGAGGCCCCAGGTTCGATTCCCGGGCCGGGAGAAATATTTGTATGGCCTACATTTGTTTCTCTCGTGAGTTTGGGTGTAATTTGTCGTTGTCTATGTGTGTGTCCATGGCACCCGCGACACAGGGTTTCCCTAGTGCGGGGTTATGTTGAGTGTGTGCGTTATTATTATTATTACTCAGATAGGGTCGTATTCCAGAACTGTACTCAATGCTCAAATCAGGATTTGAACAGACTTGAGTATGATTTCAAGCACTGGAAATACGACCCTAATGGCAAGGACTTGAGTATGATTTCTAGTGCTTTGAATCATACTCAAGTCCTGACTTGAGCATTGAGTAGAGTTCTAGACTACGACCCATAGAGTATTATAAAATCCTAGATATTGGTTAGATGATCACTCTATGTGAGTAACGAGCTTTGCGAATAAAACCGAGAACTTTAAAACGCTCCCCTGTAAACTTGTGCAATTTCGACATTCGATACTTTACGTAGGAGGAGTCCATATAGGCGTGACGCTTACCACCCGGCGACGCTTACCACAACTTGTTCGTCCCGTCACTTGATAACATAAAAAAAATCTTATATTTGAGCGGATCGCCTCTTTTTTGACTCGCTTGTACTCTCCACCGTTATCGAAGATAATGTCATTCTGATTATTACCTTTCTGAATTCAGGTCCAAACAACAGTGCCAGTGTCAACAACGAACAGCACGATGAAGAACGGCCTATCCGAAACCACGCCGGCGACCAACGGCATGGCCAACAACAACTTCACGACTAAACCGCCTACAGCGAGGAGCGCGAGGCCCTCGCCTATTGCGACTGGTGAGTCTACTATCTTTATTTCGGATGATAAAAAAAATAAATGAAATTTCTTGAGGTGATAAACCCTTAACATCAAAAGAGACGATTTTAAACGCAAAAAAGTTGTTGTTTTATATGATAAAGCTGATTTTATTATTTCTTATATGGCTTAAACACACAATCACCTTTATAAAACAGAGCCTTAAAAAAGAGAAAATAAAATTTGTGATTTAAAGTTTTTTGCTGCCATTTTAGTTTTTAAGAAAAGATGCCATCACATTATATAGTAATTACGAACACATGCACACACACGCACAATAAGGGGCGCGCGCACACAAACAACACTCGAGCGGAGTACATACAGCAGTGTTGCCAGATGGTTACATTACTTACATTTTTCGTAACTTTTTGCCCTCTCGCGTAGTATGTAAGTAATTTTTATTTATTTCAATATTCGTCAAAACCATGACATTTTTTTAAATTCAACTGTACATTATTTGTTATTGTAAATTCACACCCAAATTAGATAATAAAGTAACTCGGAGATAGCGCAAACAAATGAAATCAATTCATTACTGGTTAAAGCTTGATTTTCCTTAAGCATACTTACTTTTTTTTTCTTGTATTTAGTCGTATGTCGCACAGCTAATACAAAAGTGTATTAATTCAAAAAGTGTATTTTTTCAGAATCAATTAAAATACGAATTATTCACTTCCCGTGAAAGGTTTTTAAAATTTATGTATTTGTATAGGCTAAAGTTGTATTTTTTTTACATACAGATAGAATGCAGACATCTACACAAACTTTTATTTAGATTTTTTATTTTTAAAAAAATATTTAAAAATGAAAGATAATTTCAAGTACCTAAGGACTGTGTTGTCGAGAAGTAGCTCACACTCTACTTAAAAGTTTCTCTCTTTTTGAGTTGGATAGATAAATACCTTTTGATATTTTGTTGCAATGTTCTAACGACGGTTTAACAATTGTATAATCTTGAATATCACAAATTTTGAGTTACGACACTTTAGTAATCGCAGTGCGATATGAAAATACTTCACAGTTGAATTGTATAATAAAAAAAATGAAAATATGGCTTTAGCAACAAAAAAAATTATATTTTCAAGTAACGAAACGTAATTTCTGACTCAAGAGCCCTGCCACCACTGCATACATGTACAAACACAACCAAACGCGCTCGCACAGACACAAGCATACAGTATTTTAAGATTACTACGCAAATCACGCAAACACGTAAATTACTCACGTACGATTCTTCCCACCATGGATAATTTACATCGAGTATATAACAGAAAAAGAGACGAAATGTCATTTAATTTTTTAAAAACTATTCAGCCAAATCATTACTGTCACAACTGCGCTCCGATTGGCCAGCCCGAATTCGAAACAATTGACGGGTGTCAAATGTTTCACTTCAAATCGACCAGTTTAACTAACTAGCTTTGCTAGAATGGACGAAAATTGAAAAGTCACATATTTAATATTTAATTACCGATGAAATGTGATTCCGTTTGTTTTGTGATCAGCCCCCATTGTTAGAAATATTATCTTTATTACAATAAATACAGAATATTTTTGGAATATACGCTAACGTAGACACAGGTCAGTTGTTGGCGCTGTACTATTTCAGTTTTCTAATTTGTGATTTCAGCGCAAACGAGATATTTATATTTAAAAGATATTTATATATTGATATTTATAAGTGATATAATGACCATTACCTGATGAGTTGCCAGGGATGGATGGCCCTTATTTCGTCTCTATTTCTGGTTATATACTCGATGATAATTTATAACAATCACTTATTATCGCTTTCAAACTAAACTATTTTAATCGAACCTACACTATTGTACCGAATGCATCTTCAACACCCCCGCATGTTAATGCTTATTTGTTCCCAGCCCGGCATGAATCGAGCGCCTAGCGCGTAGCTGAACGCTTGCCTTTCTAATACTGTGTTCTTGTGTGCACTAATTTATTTTTAGTTTTATTATATTGTACTATAGTGTATTTTGGTTTTATTCTTTTTACCCAATATCGTGTCTTAATTATAACGTAGATTTGTGAAAATATTGGGTTTATTTTTAATGTTACACACCTAAGAACGAACCCTAATAACAAACATTAAGAGAGGTCACACACGGCGGCTTTTAGATGTAAACGCGCGTTCGTGAAAACCGCGATTGCATCGCTATATTTGCGATTTATATGCGATTGCATCGATAAAGTCGCGTGTTTGCACCGCGTTTGCATCGCTGTTTAAAGTCGCGCGCGTTAGCCGTGTGCAACCGCTCTAAGACTATGAAAAGAACTTTGCAAGCAAGTTTTTTGAATCTACAAAACGAACATAGCCTAAATTTAAGCAAGAAATTAAATACAAAGATCGAATACATTGGAAAAGTCTTCGAATCGACTTGAACCCACGACCATAATGCATCGTTGTATTGCTCTTACCAACTGAGCTACGGGTCAAGTTATCGAGTCGTCGAAATTTTCCTATGTGTTTTTGTTAAAGATCGTACTGTTTTTGTTCGTGTTTTTTTTCGGCTTTCTGTGCCGCTGGTGACATCTAGTGAGAGATTTTAGAATCTTTGTAAAATCTCTCACTAAATTGAATTTAATTTTGTGAACATGAAAACCTTGCTTAGCTCGACATATTTGCTTAGTCGAAGTCAAAATTCATTTTAAAAGTCTCAGCGTTAAGCATTCCAATTTATCGATAGTTTTAGATGGTATATCACGGCCCCTAAAACAAGTCTCCTGCAGTCGTGACAACGTGTTTGTTTTCTACTACCTACAATATTATTGTATCCATACAAAACTCGATACTACCTACGTGTTTAATTTACGCTAAAACAAACAAAAACAGTTTTATACTGTAACACCATAGTTTTTTCTGTTTATATGCTTGCTCCCACTTGGGAGCTTATTTGAGAGTTGACAACATTGACTTACAAATAAATGGACGACGGGTCTAATACAAAAACCACGAAAAAAATGTCCCAAGTCAACCTATTTAAACGTAGTGACATGTAAAGGAATATGAAAAAGCTAAAACGTTGAATTTAAATTGTAATGTCATCGCAGTACTGTCTAATTTTGCTTGCTTAGCTGTCAGTCGAACAAACGAAGACTAAAGCGTGAATGACGCTCTGTATACGATTTTAACGCCCTATAAGTTCGGACACTTTTTAGCGCGGACCCGACGTCCATATAATTGTAAGTCAATGGTTAACAAACAACTTGGATTTCAGAATTTTCTAGCACTCAACCCAATTTAACGAGTTTCTATCTATACAAAGCTGTATAGAGGTAAATTTCCAAAAGCCTTACAAGTTTAGAGGTTTCTTGTTATTAAAAATATAACAATAGTGTTATATATAGATAGTACCTTAGACACATACACCTATGGTATATACCTGAATTGAAGTCATGCTTTCTGGTAGTTATTATTTGAACAGATTTTCCGGACAATCTCAAAGAAAAAAGACTTGCTTGGTTGTGGGAAAGGGGACAGTGTTCGCAACTCGTATAATACGATGAAGATAATATTGACTTCAAACTTGTTGTTGAAAAACTTCCGCGAGATTCGCACCTCATATCGTGCTGCCGCCACTATCTGTGAATCTTTGTACGATAGTATAAGTGTGAATCAGTTGGTTGCATATTCTTTTGTGTCCAAATTAATGATGACCCTGGAAACTTGTCACGCTAAGAGCGTAGTCTTACGAGCTGCATCCTGACTGCAAAATAAGAATTTAAATACAGTCAAAAACTAATAATGAGAAAGAAAAGAGAAAAAAATAAACGCACAAGATTAAATCCACAAATTAAAATGCAAAAAAAAGAAATCACAACCAAATAAAGTTAAAACTAAAATATTTATAAAAAGATACTTAGTGTGGTGCGGCAATAAAAGGGTCACAAACTCGGCAATTGCCGAAACATGGCGGTTAGGAGCCAACAGACTGCGATGCAACTCCATCACAAATTGTCAACAGCTTGTAGTGCAACATCGTGTGACACCATAAGGGTCAAAAGCGAATTTATTATACTTATTATATAAATCCAATAAAGATTCGATGTCAAGATACATGTTCCATAGTGTTAAATAAGCTTCATCGTATTGTGCTTAGAACGTTGTCCTAATTAACTTGTGTCTGTGGTTTTTACAACTTAAATAACCCTTTCACGGTGATATGCCAGTTACGATATTTAACATTATTACTATCCAATATTGTTTATATTCTTTTCCGTTGTATAGTATATACTGTAAAAGTTTCTAATGGCATAGTATAATTAAGACAAGTAGGACAACTTCCGCTTATTTGGCGCGTAAATACGTATACGTCGCTCAAAGCGTAGGGTAGTACCGTTATTATTTTAGTGATGCCTACAGGTTGTAAACATAATTTGAAATAATTATAACTTTTTTTATAAAAAAACAAAAAAGAATAATCAAAATTAGTTCACAAATGCCGGAGTAATGGCGTAACATACGCAGAAAAAAAATACAGTCTAATTGAGAACTTGTTCCTTTTGAAGTTGGTTAAAGATTAAGGTATTCATAATGATGTATTGAAATAATATTAATAATCATCAATTTCAGACAATTTGACTGATATTTGTTTAATTACTATGAACTGGCAAAACATATTTTGAAAATTAAAGGCAAGAATCAAAATCGAGTTTTAAAATTGCATACTAAAAATAAAAAAAAATTATACATTTTTTGAAAATTTGACATGAAATAGTAATAATCAGTTTATTAACACAATTAAATTAGATTAACGAATTAAATTGAAGAATTAAAATAATCTATAAAATAACCTTTGTCTAATGCAGAACTTACATATTGTTATTATTATCCCAGCATCGCGGATTAGTACTTCGATTGTGGGGGTATGATGAATAATTCTGAATATGATACGGTCTTGTTCACAAAACTAATAAACACGTCTACTATTTGATGCCATTTTTTAAACACCGAGCGAACGCTTCAATACTACGATAAATTGCGCGTACCCACGCTGTGCAATTTGAGTGCACTGCGAGATTATGTGAATGTGTGCGCTGGCATATACGCATACAAGCTGCGTTGCTACGTTTGTATGGAGTTACACAACTTGTCTTGTTATACTATGCTATAGTCTGTCTTTATTGAAGACGGAGTAAAATGACATGTGTAGACCTATCAGTTTTCATAAAAATGTAAATAGTTATGTAGTTGTTGTCGATAGTTTTATCGATAGGTTGTGATTGAAAGAAGATAAAATTTTGCCAAAAATGACGGGAATTTGAAAGTTACGACGTTCTAATGATTACTAATTGAGTTATCGCCGTTGGTCTACTAGTATCGAGATAAATTTTTATTCATATACATTTTAACACAAATAGCTGGATTTGATTATCTGTATTGAACTGAAAAACTTTGAAATATGTCTCCTCTTTATATTTTTTATAAACATAGTTCTAAATACAGTGGTATTATGTATAAACTTATAAAAATTGACAATTTAAATGAGCTTGTGCGCAGTAATTGGATGAATAATAGGTCGAAGATGATTAAAATGAAACAAGTTCGGCTATTTATTCCATAAGCGTGACCCATATTCAGTCGATAGTCGATAGAATATTTGTCGAAAGCATTCACGCAAGCGGGCAACACTTTTAAGCCATGAACTGTCATTTTACTCTGACTTTAAAAAATACCGACTATAGAAATTCACATTGGAATCGTGGTGTTCTTCGTAACACGAGATGATGACGTATCGTAACTGGCATTTATCGTATCTGTGGCTTGTGGTTGACGTGTGTGGCGTAGCAGACGCGGCTGGCGGCAGCAACATTCCCGACGAGCAGCGCGCACTCGCATCGCTACAGCAAAAAGCGATCGAGTCCTTCGTAAGGAGGAACAGCCACGGCGACATATGTGAGTTGCTTTATTTTGACTTCAAATTCAGACATATGACTTTTCAATTAAAATAATTGTACTTGAACCAAATTTTTTATTGAATTGATATTCAATTATTTTTTGTGAAATTACTCCACTTGTTTGCATTGACTTACAATCATATGGACGTCGGGTCCGCGCTAAAAAGTGTCCGAACTTATAGGGCGTTAAAATCGTATACAGAGCGTCGTTCACGCTCTAGTCTTCGTTTGTTCGACTGACAGCGAAGCAAGCAAAATTAGACAGTACTGCGATGACATTACAATTTCAATTCAACGTTTTAGCTTTTTCATATTCCTTGACATGTAACGTTTAAATAGGTTGACTTGGGACATTTTTTTCGTGGTTTTTGTATTAGACCCGTCGCGTCGTCCATTTATTTGTAAGTCAATGACTTGTTTGTTATAATTATTAATACAAAGATACCTTATATGTATAATATATTGTTTTAAGCGTTCGGCTTAGAAAAAATTCTTCGATCCGGCCGGTATCTAGCTGGGTGATGAAATACTTTCATAGATTTCTCGTTTTTGGCGCTACGACTAAAAAGTCCCTGAAAACCTAACACAAAGATCCGACAAGAAGCACATAGACAAATACGTGAGGTCCGCTGGAGGCACGGCTTGCTAGGAGACGTCGGTTCGAATCCGGCCGAATTCAAGGAACTTTTTCTAAGTGTTCCATCTTCATATTAATAATTAAATTTTTTGTACTAGCAGTCACTAAGAAAACTTACTAACCAATTTATGGACACCGTTGTCTGAATTAAAGATAAAATAAAAGATTATTATTATTAATTAACCCTAATGGGTTAATGTCCAACTGATAAAATAAATAATCTTATGAAATAAAGGTACGCAGTAAATACTGCAATGCCAGACATTTTCCGTTTTGATTGATTGACAATTTATTTCTTGAGACAAGCTTATGAAAACCGTGTTCGTTGACACTTCGCCACTGTATTGAATTATAATTTCCCCTTTTTGTGTACCTAGGTGAACGCAAAGACCCCCTGAACGCGCTGCAAGTGAAGAATGGCGGCTCCAAACGAAACGCGTTGCTCAAATGGTGCCAGCAGAAGACGTTAGGATACAACAACATCGATATTACCAACTTCAGGTAGGACATATTTTGGAATAAGTTAATTTGAATTTTTATTATATTAGACAACATTACATACGTTGCTGTGATCGCAAAGTAACTAAAACATTTCGGTTTTGGAAACCGGTGACAATGACGGTACCAGACCCGAGACAGTCCCATATTTTTCTACATAAGTTTTGCTTACAGTGACCCTCGTATCAACCTCTTGGTTATGCGGGAAGGGCGCTATAACCTGTACGAGTAAGCCCGTACAGGGACCATCGTAAGTCAGGCCCTAACCCCAGATCAGCCCGTTTGCACGGACTTCATCCGGTTCTCAGAAGGCTAGTGCCTTAGGGCTTGTGCAGCGTGTCGGCGATATGTCGCGACTGCGGTCGCATCGACTCGCAACGACTTCTAACTATGAAATACAGAGCAGCGTGCGGGCGACTAGCGACCTATAGCTTAGTGAATTTTCGAATAATTATCGACCCAAAGGGAAAATTCCGTTTTACGGTTCCATGCCATAGGAAGGATAAGAAGGAGATTTAATATTCATCCAATTAATATTATGCGGCGATTACGAACTGCATCAATTAAGCTATCTGGGTCCATTATTATAATTTTAATTACTTGTGTAATAATCTAATAATAATAGGAACATTAATTGGTAGGACTGATCGCTGCAAGTCTCACGATCAATGGTTGCCTGTCGCGGGCATGATGCACTAAGCCATTTAGTTCGACATGTTAAAACAAGTCGCAGCGAGTCGGAGCGACCGCAGTCGTGAAAAATATCGCCGGCACGCTGCACGAGCCCTTACGTGAACCGCCACTGGTGCACGTACAGCACCCTCCCCATTTTCCAGATAGGTACTTAGCTGTGGGCACGCTCAATTTCCGTCGCGCTAACGGTTGCCACCCCTGAGCCGTCGACTCAAAGTCGACTATCAAATTTCCTCATTGATGGCGGAGCTGTAGGGCTCACGCCTCTCCCTAGTTCCCAAATTTCTACGCGGCTGGAGGAACCGGAGGACGTCTAGCTCATCTTCTCCTAGCCTTCTGGGCTAGTGCCGGAGTAATCGCGTAACTTTATAAAAACTACAGTCGAATTGAGAACCTCCTCCTTGTTTTCAAGTCGGTTAAAAACAATCGTTATTAAACATGCTCCAGTAGCAGTATAGCTCCTTGTGAAAGAGTTCGTCCAGAGTAGTAGTAGTAGTACGCCAAGCAGTAATATCAGCGTTACTGTGTTCCGGTTTTGAAGGACAAGTCAACTATTATCTCAGGGTGACGGGCGTAGTGGTAGTGCCCCTCAGATCTTTGCAATTTTAAGCTCTGAGTGGTACTGTAACTGTTATGGACAGGCGTGTAGCTTACCGTCAGGCGCATGAATTGTTCGTCCTGCCACTTGAAGTTATTTAAAAAATGCTCCCTTGAAAAATTTTTGGATGACGCTTTCGCCCTTTCTAATAAACCTGGCGATTTACTAATATAACCCTGAATTAAATTTAACTTGACTTCCTCTCCGTAGTTCATCATGGAACGACGGCATGGCCCTCTGCGCACTTCTCCACTCATACTTGGGTGACGGGCGCGTGCCGTACTCGACATTGGCCCCCCACGACAAACGGACCAACTTCTCTGTCGCGTTCGCCGCTGCCGAATCGGTTGGCATTCCTACTACCCTGGTAAGTTATTTTTTTTTAAATTAATAATAAATAAATAAATATAAGACAACATCACATACATTGCTCCGATCTCAAAATAAGTAACCAAAATACTTGTGTTATGAAAATCGGAAACATTTACGGAACCACAAACACCAAGACCCGATACAATATACAAAAGTTTTTTACATTGATCTGGCCGGGGATCGAACCCGGGACCGAACCCGGGACCTCAGAGATGACGACACCATGAAAACCATCTCTCGTCGCGGAGGTCGTCGAAAAATTACGACCAGTTAATGTTCAATCTATTATAGTTAATTAGAATTTCTATAGAGGAAGGCTGATGGGGACATCAAGATCAACGCAAACTGTCTTTCCTAATAAATATCAACCCGCATTGGGCCAGCGTGGCGGATTATGACTCGTGTCCAGCAGTGAGACGTATAAATGGGTTAATGATGATGACCCCGTTATTTACTTTTTACTTTCTGTGTTTATTATCTGTAACATTTCGATTGTAGGACTAGAATCCGAGGTCATGTTTTAAAACCTAATTTTTTAAATTGAAATGTTATTTTGTTCCAGAACATTCAAGATATGATTCAGCAGGAGCGTCCAGACTGGCAACAAGTAATGGCCTACGTCACCAATATTTACAAACATTTCGAAACATAGACTTTGCTTCAAAATTCCTAAAACTCTTTAAAATAATCCTAGACATAACCTATCTACAACAAAATATACAAGATCTCATTTCAAATCGTCATCTCTAAAATTATTTCAATCGATAATTATCTCGCACTTTAAATAAAGACAACTATAGATTATCTACGTATTTATATGTACGCGTGTAAATGAGACAACTATACTTTAACAATTCGTCTTCTATTATTCTTCCAAACATAGCTTCAAAAAGTATCCTATAAGAACTTGTTAGGTTGTAAAGGACATTCCTATAAAGTAAGCTTGCGAGTGATATTTTTATATCAGTTTGTACGTATTTGATAGAATGGATCGATTTGCCTTTGACTGCCTTGTTAGATTGGTGTAAAGCTGTATAGATTGCCAGAAGACTCGAGAAAATGGTATCGATAAAGGTCGAAGTATAGTTAAGACGCGACAGCTATTGTTCTCTTTCTCGCATGGTTTTAAAGCAATGTCAGAGTAACAATACCTTTCGCATGCTAAAGACAGACAAGTCAACAGATTCGCCACGTTTGCGGTAGTGGAACGAATGGGGAAAAAATACGTCTTCAAACAAACATTTTTTGTCTATAAGTTCGAAACTTTCTCATAGATGGCGTTCAACGATTTGTTGATACGGAAAGCACGATCAATGCCTTTACAATGAGTTTACACTACAAGTTGTGTCAGGTCTTGCTAGCTAGAATAGCTTAATTGTTTACCAGTAGGGCTAGCACAACTGTCGTCCACTAATTAAAACGTGGCTGAGTGATAAATGGTGAAATATGCGTTTTAAATAGCAAAGGATAGAGCACAAAGTTTTCTTTTAAAAACGGTTAAAATTAGTTAACGTGTTCGACTTATCGGAACTAACCCTATCGATGCATAGCTGAAATATCATTGAACAATTTCAATATTCTAATACTGGTTTATGGTTTTTGTATGATATCTCAAGAAATATTTTGTCACTTTGCCGCGTTTTAGTTAATGGACGGCAGACAATAGGTCGCGACTTGCGCGAGAGCGACATAACACGCGAGATTTCTATGCGAGAATTGCAGTATCTCGCAGTCCTGCTGCCGAAATAAAGATGGCTATAGTTTTCCTTGTCAATATCGGAAATATTTGAGGACTGCTTTTTTTATAATAATAAGTGACGGAACGAACAAGTCGTGCGCCTGATGGTAAGCAACACGCCTGTCCATAATAGTTGCAGTGCAACTCAGAGCTTTAAATCGGCTGGAGGGGTCATCGCTCTTAACCATAACACTGACATATTGATCTTTGTATCAATTATAATAACAAATAAATATCATTCATTCATTCGGTTATAGCGACCACGTCAAATTGCACAGCGCCTCCAGTGGTAAAAAAGAAGTACACTGGGTACACAAACGTTCTATGGGGTTTACAGGAACCATTCTCTACGTCTATGCGAACATTAATGGAGCATCGGATGCTAATAGATCTTTTTGTGTGGACAAACATTTGATCGCCGTCGATGAGTGTGTATTGACCCTAATTTTTCAATCCAATATTCACGATTATCGCCTTGTCTGTGGTGTTAATGAGCTAGTGGTGTCTCTGTTAACTTGTCATAATATCGTAGTACCGTCTTTCCAATCTTCAAGACTGAACTTTATAACGGAAACCATCTGGTTATTTGTTTCTTGTCTATTGTAGTTATAGAGGTGAATTATAATATTTTTATATGATATAGAAGAGAACAGTGCTCAGCGGTGGGATATTGTAATGGATCGATGATGTATGGTATATATAAAACCGACAAGAAACGAGATTAAACAACCTCTATCTCTACGTGGATGAGAAAGGAACTCATTATGATAAGCTAGAGTTAGGAATTGCCTTAATTGTGGATCGGATAGCCTTGAAAGCAGACTTAGGTAGAATATTTTCTTACTGTTTATTAACTTACGGCGTGATACAGTGTTTACAGAGTTTATGTCAAAATTGACAGCTCGTGGACAATCTTCATTGACATTTCTGTATTTAATATCTTTGATTGCAATTCGTTTATAGAGAAACGATGAGTAAATTTAAAAAAATATTTAAATTGTCGCTCTAAAGAGACGCCGGATTTATATTTGCCTGACGTGTCGTGAGGCGTCAGAACGGTATTGATTTCATACACATAGCACAAATCGTCACATCAGATTGCGACACACTTATATAAATCTAACCATATTAAATGTATGAAATCGATACCTTTCTGACGCGTTACGACACGACACGTCAGACAAATGTAAATCCGGCTTTAGTTTTCTCGACTATAATATGACATCGAGTATATAACCAGAAATAGACACCAAATAAGGGCCATACATTCCTGGTAACTCATCAGTGATACATCACTTATAAATATCAACTCCCGTTTGCACTGAAATAAAGACAGGCCAACAACTGACCTGTGTGTACGTCTCCGTATATTCCGAAAATATTCTATATTTATTGTAATAAAGATAATATCTCTTACAATGGCGTGCTGCTTCAGTTGGTGGTAAGGGGAAAAACAGCAAAACATCTAATTACAAAACAAACAAAATCAAATTTCATCGGTAATTAAATATTAAATATGTAATTTTTTAATTTTCGTCCATTATAACAAAGCTCAAGTTAACTGGTCGATTTGAAGTGAAACAATTGACGACACTTGTCAATTGCTTCGAATTCGGGCTAGCCGATCGGAGTGCAGTTGTCACAGTAATGATATGGCAGAATAGTTTTCAAACAAAAGAAATGACATTTCGTCTCTATTTCTGGTTATATACTCGATGTATTACAACTACCTATAAATAATATACGAGGGCGTATAAACTACAATGGAAAGAGCATCCGTGTAAAGGCTAATAGCGTAGGATAGACCCCGTGAAACTGGCGCGTGTTGGTTCCCTTTTCCTTCCAAGGTCTTTACACGCGCGTTCAATCGCGAACAAATGCCGTATCACGGGATAGAGTGTCTGTGTAAAGCCCGCTATTTACACATAACTCTTTCATACAGAAATGTTCTAGTTATGGCATTAACTTCGTACACTCTGCGTATTATTATTGCTGGACTGATACCTTATATTATAAGTAGATCTATAATACTTATTATGTATTTGGAATTGTACTACATATTCGCTTATTTATACTTAATACTTAACTGTCATATGACCATTTACTTATTTATTTATGCTTTTCATAAAAATCATAATTATAATCAATTTTATAATCGCATATTAATATCTATTCTATAACGCACATAAAATAATGTTGTCGATATTTTTTTGAGCTACATATGTACGTGAAGATGTGGCCGAAGATGGTACAATTTTAAATAATTCAGGGTGCACCGTTTGTGTAATATGACTTTTGATGGTAGAGTACTTTAAAAAATAACTATCATATTTTTTCTTGCCATTTTAGAGTTATGCCAGTTTTTAACCCGGCGTGCTATAAGTAGTAACACGTCTTGCTATAGTTTATAGAATATCTGCTGCAGTATACGGGAGAAATCATGGTTGACCTGTGAGAGGAAAAATGGGAGGGATTTGATCATGTAATAACTGCGCACACTCCCCTAAATATATCGTACATCGCTTCGACACTGGCACATCTCAAAAATAGCAACTATGGCAAGTAATCATTTTATATTATTACTTGTGGTTATTTTTTCAAATAGGTAACCTACCGATCAGTCGTCAAGAGTGATATTAGTGAACTTATCAAATGTTGTCATAATTTTTTACAGGTAAGTAAACATCTTTGCTTTATTTTCCCCAGTTCGTGCACGTCCATAATAGAACACAAACAAAATGATTTTTGACTTCTGACACTATTTATGTCAATGTGCAATGACCTGTAAAAGACTGAAAATATATCTATTTGTTGACAATGTTTATTTGTTATGTGCGTTTTAGAGTAGACGTTTCTTTATAAGTGTTGTGTAATACACGGGTATATTATTCGACAGAATATTGTAATTTTTTTTTTCTGGTGACTTTCGCAATTAGATAAAGCAGCTACAGAAACTTTAGTTTAAAATAAATGTTATTTTAAATTATTTTTCATTGTGAAATTTAGTTTTAATTTTTATTTATCTACTGATTTTGAATGTGAGAACGAACCTATTTTGTAAGTTTATTAATGAAAACAATAAGACATAGTTCAAGTTGAATGGTGATTTAGGCGCTACACAGATCACGTTTTTTGCACGGAGCCGTGAACATGAGAACCCCTTGTCAGCACCGCGTGTTTCATAGTAATAATGAATTTGTTTATCTCAACAAATTAATAGTAAATATAAATTAGGTACATACAGTTTGCAATCAGACAATAATGGTATGAGATAAAAATAGTAATGTTCAACATCGCCCCTGACATTATGCCACAGCCTGGCATATTCAAAACTAACATTCACTTTATTCCTGTCGTAAGCATAAAACAATGAATAGCTATATAGCTATTAAAATTATACCCAGATCAGTAACTACTTCTAACTATTTCACTAGGCCTATCCCAAGGATTGCTTATAAAAGAGCGTTTGTTTGTATGTGATAAAAAATGTGACTGTCTCACACAATTTGTGGAAAAAAGAAAAACCCGACTGCAAAAATATTTAGCTGGATATAAAAAAAGATTAAAAAAAATAACCCTCTTCACTATTTAGATAATCAAGATGAATCTAACGACACCTCATATAAATCAAAATCCATCAATCCCAGCCGTTTAGGCTGTACAGGGAAAGATGGAAATGGACCTACATACACTTGAAAATCATACCCCTCCCGCAGTCGAGTAAAAACATCTCACAAGCGACGTGTTAGAAACAATTCGGGGTAATTTATAAATAGTATATATATATCTTTGATCTAGCAAAGTCTATCTAGACTGATTTTATTCTTCAGTTGTGTCAAAAAGTTATATGTGGTTCCATCTGCTCGCTTGCTGACAATACTTCATATGAGACATACGTTTTGTATAAACGCAGTGCTAAAGCGTGGTCACTATACAAGGTTCAGTTGCTGATAACGTCATATGTAACAGTGCAATGAGATGATGTCCCTGATTGGCTCCAGTTGGAAGGGAGTTTACAAAATGTGAAATTGAATATTGTTAAGTATGATTTGAAGTTATGTTTCTGACTCGGTTGTTGAAGCTATACCTAGATTTAATATAATTAACTATTGTCTATTTTCGAGAGAAGTTTGTATTTTTGTACATATAGCTTAAATAAAGTTCCTGATTTATTAAACTTGAGTATTTTTTACGCTACTGTTAATAGTTAGAAAAAAATATAACGAAACTTATAACATATTTGACAAAGAAGTATCCATCTCTCTAAAATATTTATTTAGGGCATCAAGTATATAACCAGAAACAGAGACGAAATAACTAGCATAGTAATAAGTAAAGGAAGCAAGGTACAATTTTGAACAAAGGGCTTTCTAATCATCTTCATTATTCCCACTAGTTCTGTTGACAGAACTACTAATACTTCGTTCCCCATTTGTTCTGTTCATAAGTAGACAGTTTTCTTCATAGAACTACTGAGAATTTTCTGTCCCACTAGTTCTTTGTGTGCCCCATCTTAAAATAAAATTAATTATTAAATGAAATCCAAACCAAATGCCAATAAAAGAGTTCCTTTATTGGATGAATAAAATTATAATAATGGTAGACATATGAACAAAAATATAGTAGGTAATACAAACATTATACAGAACTTAAAATATTCTTACAAAGTAATGACTATAAACTAAGTCATGTAGTGACATGGTCCGGGATTTTTTTTTTTAATAATAATAACGCACACACTCAACATGGCCCCGCACTAGAGAAACCCTGTGTGCGGGTGCCATGGACACACACATAGACAACCACAAAATTACACCCAAACTCACGAGAGAAATAAATGTAGGCACTACAAATATTTCTCCCGATCAGGGAATCGAACCTTACTTACATATCAGTCGCTGATATGTAAGTAAGTAAATTTAAATCGAGGACACCAGTATGACGGTAAGTCGGTGGCGAAACACCTCCTTCCTAATTACATCTTTCATCGTTTTTAATTTTCATCTTAAAACTATAGATAATAAAGATTTTGGTTAATTATTCTACCATTCGATAATGCCAGGAATATATTTCTCGATGAGTTTCTCGTAATACGGCCAGAGTGCTTCTATGTCAGGAATTGCAGCACTTTTAGTGTACAAGTCGTATTTACTGCAAAAAAAAAAGTTTTTATAACATGACTATTATTAAAAGAAAACTTGTTGTCATGTAATTCGAGTAATGCTACTCAAATGACGCGCGTTTACGGAATGGGATAATTTTATTCTTATTGTAACCCTTACCCGATTAGCACTTATTACAGATTTCTTACCACGGTATGAGATAAAATACTTTGTTTTAAACTTTCACGATTTTTACACATTATTTCATTTATATCAGATTGATTGAAAATTATCACATAGATTGCTCTCACAATGTTGCAGAAGTTTAAAGAAGTTGCTTCAACTGATAACACGTAAATATATAGTTTTTACATCACTAGCTCAGAAAGATTTCTTTCTCATTAGAAATCTGTGACCAAAAGCCATTGACCTACCAACAAATGGACATCGGGTCTAATATAAAAACCACTAAAAATGTCCGAAGTTAGCCTATACAAACGTAGTGACATGTAACCAAATATAAAAAACTAAAACATTTAATTAAAATTGTAACGTCATTGCAGTACTGCCTAATTTTGCATGCAACAATTTAAGTGCCCAAAAACACCATATTCAGCTTCTACTGGAAACTTAACGAAATGCACCATATTTAGCTTCGACTGAATAATACTTGAACATAAAAGTAATGGAGTAGCCTTTCTCGTAAATATTAATTAATTTTTATATACAGGGTTACAGGAAAAGTCGTGCTAGATCCGTTAAGGGCGTGGAGAGTACTCATCATTTCTGACTTATTTTACTATGAAACACCCTACCCTAAACTTAACCCTTTTCGAGTTTTTTTATCTGCCGATCAACTGCCATAATATTTTTTTTAGATATCCCTTAGAGAAAAATAAACTTTCTAATTTTTTTTTAATTTCTTAACTTTCTCTTTTCTACTACGGCGTATTGAATTAACTTATTCACTATTTTAATGATTGAGGTCCTAAAGCATCTTATCACACATGTAAAAATGCAATAATTATAATAATAAGACACACAAAATAAACAAAATTAAATTTAGTAGCCTAAAAATCGGCAATTTTGAATAAAAAAAATAAAAGTCAAATATCTCGAAAAGGGTTAAGTTTAGGGTAGGGTGTTTCATAGTAAAATAAGTCAGAAATGATGAGTACTCCACGCCCTTAACGGATCTAGCACAATTTTTCCTGTAACCCTGTATATTATTATGTCGAATTTTGTACAACTTCACTTAAAGATATAATAAAGAGTTGGCCAGATACATACATACAAATATTACTACAAATGTGAAAATAACTATAAGAAATGTACCACTAAACTAACTACTACTAAATGCCAAAAGCGTTATTTTTTACACGCTCTAGCGTGGAAATGGTTTTTAAATTCGAACTTGGCGATGGCCTGTGGTGCATCTAACTTTTTCTTTCGATGAAAAAACATAATGACACGTTCAACTACGCGGTTTGTTTTACATTATTATTATGTAATAGAAATCCGTTGGTGTATTTTATTATTATTATTGTATTTATTTTAAACTCTCGCCTCTCCCAAGGCCTAAAAGATTAATTTTGAATTTTTAAATGGGAGAGGCGGTATTTCCCGGCAATGGCACAGTCGGCCGGGGTCAGGGACTCAGGTCCAAGAATCGGCGAACAATACGTGCCGTATCGAGCAGGACCGCCTTCTGCATTTGTGCTGGAAGCAACACGCCACAGAAATCCAACCGCCTCAAACTGTTAGAAAGGCTGACTGGAATTAACCCATTTGCGGACAAAACAATTGGGATTATTTCAGTGGAGGCCACATCCCACATGTCGGTGATCTCGTGCGCCAGGTCGAGATACTTCCGGCGTTTCTCGGTTTCAGCTTTCACGAGACCCTCGTCATGCGGGATGGTGACGTCCACAAGAAATACCCTCGACTGCGATCGATCCAATATCACAATATCAGGCTTATTCGCAAGAATAGTCCTGTCCGTGATAATAGATCGATCCCAATAGATTTTGGTGCGGTCATCTTCGAGTATTGGCTCCGGTGAATACTTGTAATATGGCAACCTCTGTTGCACTAGTCCGTACTTGAGAGCGAGCTCTTGGTGTAATATTTTGGCTGCCTGGTTGTGTCTGTGCAAGTACTCAGTGTTAGCAAGAGCGGAACAACCGGAAACAATATGCCTAAGTGACTCTCCGGGACGGCCACATGCCCGACAAATGTCTACTGTGCCGTCCTTTAGGATATATTTCCGATAGTTCCGCGTCTTGATAACCTGATCCTGTATTGCGCAGACAAAACCTTCGGTTTCCCCAAAGAGGTCCCCGAAACGCAGCCAATGTAGGGAGGCTTTACGGTCCATAAAAGGCTCGTGGAGTACCTTGAAGAACCTCCCATGGAGCTCCTTCTCTTTCCATACGGACTCGCGGTCAGAGGTGCTAAGCACCACCGGGTCTCGCCATTCCTCTTTGGCCAACGATAAGGGAGTTAGCCCTTTATCACATGTGACAACCTCTCCACGAATTACGTCATCCGTCATCGTCAAAAAGTAGTTTCTGAGACTGCATATCTCGCGGTTGTGCATGGTTTTGACACTTAATAGGCCTCTACCTCCACACTTCCGCGGGACATACAATCTCATAACTGACGATCTCGGATGATGCATTCGGTGAGAGGTCATCGTCGTGCGGACTCGTCTATCCAGAGCGTCTAATTCCGTCTGAGTCCATTTGAGCACGCCAAATGTGTACATCAGAACAGGCATGACCCAGGAGTTATAAGCTCGGATCTTATTAACGCCTGACAAATAGCTATTTAGCACATTTTTCAGGCGCCCATAAAAAACCTCGCACACACCCTGTTTCACGTCTGCTTCCTTCACACCGATGGTCTGTGACATGCCCAAATACCGGTATGTTTCAGTCTCGGAGAGTACCCGCAGGTGATTGGTGCCAACATTAATGCCATCAGAATGCATGACACGTCCCCTCTCAACATGGACCACCGCGCACTTATCGCTCCCAAGCTCCATCCTAACTGAACTGCTGAAATCGTTGGTGATTGTCAGCAGCTCCGCCAATCTGTCAGCTGTGGGGCCGTATAGCTTGAGATCATCCATGTAGAGAAGGTGAGGCATTCGCGGCCCACCTCTCCGAAACTGAAAGCCTGTGCCCGACCTCTCCAATAGAGTACTCAGAGGGTTCAGGGCCAGGCAAAACCACAGTGGACTCAGACAATCACCCTGGAAAATACCTCGCCTTATTTCTATTCGGTCATCCGCATCCGTCATCCGCCGACCGTCCAGACTCAGGATCGTTCTCCAACATCCCATGCATTGCCCGAGGAAGTGTCGAACTGCATTATCAATTTTATACAGTTCGAGGACCATCGAGAGCCATGAGTGGGGCACCGAGTCGAACGCTTTCCTATAGTCTATCCAGGCAGCGGAGACATTCCGACGGTTGCGTCTGACAAGTTGGCCAGCGACCGCGTCGATGAGGAGCAGCTCCTTACTACCGCGGCTACCGTCCCTACATCCGTTTTGAGCCCCAGATATCACACTATTATCAACAATGTGCTGACTTATCTTGGAGCTCAAAACAGATGTTAAGGTTTTGTATATTGTACAAAGACAAGTTATGGGGCGATATTGTGATGGATCCGCGGTAGCTTCGCTCTTTGGAGCTAAATGAGTGACCCCAGTAGTTAAGAAGTTTGGGAGCGTCCCACTCTCAAGGGCACTTTGGAACTGACGAGCGAGAGTAGCGTGGCAGCACCAGAACCCCTTCAGCCAATAATGATGCAGTCCGTCCGGTCCCGGACTTTTCCAGTTCGGAGCCTTACGGACCGCTACCGCTACATCCTCTTCGGATATGCTGATGGGATTCATAGGCGCTATGGTTGCACATGCTCCCTCGACCGCTTCGAACCATGGGCCCTCTTCGTGATCGACGGGCTGCGACCAAAGCCTTCGCCAAAAGGCGACCACTTCTGCTTTGTCCGGACGCTCACCCGCCAAGACCACATCAGGACGCTCCAGTGTCCTATAAAACTTCTTTTGGTCACTCATGAAGAGACGATTCTGCCGATACCTCTTCACCCTTTCGGAATATCGCCGAATCCGCTTGCCTCAAGCAGCTATATTCTGCTTCAGATCATCGATGCGCCCTGTCAGTTTTCGTGCAAACTCCGGTGAGTCTACAAAAATGTTCTCACCGGGGAATGCTTCACGGACAAAGCGCACCACTCTCGGCCTTGTGACGCCTGATCTGAAGCTAGTCAGTTTGCCGATGAGGACCCTGGCCCATGCTATACGACCCTCAATTCGCCTCATCCAGGCTGGCTTAGTACTAGTCCTAGGAGTAGTACTGCCAACCTGGTGGTTACCGCCAGGTCTTGTTGGCGGCATCCTGATGCCGACAAATTGACACACAGTCATTGCGGCAGCGAAGAGAATTGAGTCTGTCTCCCAAAGGCCTGCGCTTTCCTCTAAAAATGAGGGAAGCATGTTGTTAATGGCCCCAACGACATCCCGAACCTTGACACTGAGAGGCACTCGAGGCAGCCGTGGCCTTCGCTCAAGAGGCACGTGGCGATATTCCAGAATCGTCTCCTCCAGACTACTCCTCAACGCTTCCAAATCCAGGGCGACTGTTCCCCAATCACTTTCAGTACCACCCGTATCCGGCTGCTGAGCACTAGGTTCCCTGTGAACTTCTCTGCTGGGAACAGGAGAGCGCTCCAGTCTGGGTGGCTCTTCTTCCAGTGGAGGAACAGCCTCGCATCGTAATTGCTCGAGTTCGGCAGCGCTAAAAAGTCCTGAGCGCTGTAGGTACCGAACTCGGTCCGCCAGGTTTTGTTCTGTGACGGTCAAAGTTGGCTCCAGCCGAAGAAATTCGCGATACATTACTGCTCGATAACCTGTCCGTCCGGTTCCCGAACCTGAGGCCCTAAAATAGGCCCGCATGGCATTTTTATTCATATCAATCGTCCATGCCATGCGGCGCCGTACTCCACCAGAAGCGGGTACCGATTGCTGGGACCGAGTTGCCCCAGCCCCTGCCGATACCAAGCCAACTGGTGGTGATGGATCGTGAGTAGACTGGCCGGATGGTCGGGCCAGTCTGCCGCGGCTGGGGGCCCGCATACTGCCACGCCCAGCCCCAGCGATTACCCCCGGGAAGCGGCCCTATTCGCTCATCATAACTGTTGTGCTCCATCATTTACGATGAGCAATTTTACACCCGGGGCTTTCACTCACTTACCCCGGGGAGACCGTTATTTACCCTATTTCACGCTGAGACCAGTTCCTTGACACGGTTCTGTACATCAATGAACTTAAGCGCTGACTGTTTGCACTACTAAAACGGTAAAGTGACATGATATTCACTGTGCCGTTTCACCAGTGGGCGATGAGGTCGTCACATCCCTACGCCTTATTATTATTATTATTGTTGACATTAAATTGACAACAACAACAAATTTTGTTTATTAGAACTGATTTGGTATAGTTGAACGGTTTTTATTTCATCTACCATTTTCCTCGCAATAGTGACGTGAAAAGTTGTGTGTTCAATCTTAAGACTCTTTCGCTAAACTCAGGTTTCAATACAAGCGTCAAATAACAACTTTGCAGCCTTGCATAACAAGTAACTAATACTGTCTTAAACGTTAAAAACGGTTACTTTTCAAAACGGTTACACGTTCCATGGTCACGGGTTGACTGAGTCAACTCAGAAATAGCGGGAAAATAAACAGAACTCATACCGTGGTAAGAAACATGTAATTAGTTATAATCATTTAGTGAATAACCACGAAAGCCTTAAAATCTATATTGGTACTTTCCTTTTATGAAAGCAACGCTTTCCTATGATAAAAGGGCTATGCTTTCGTATTATAAAGGCCTTATGCATTCCCACTATTAAGGCACTATGCTTTCCAATTATCATAGTTCATTTAATTTGGTTAATTTAATTCAGCAATTTCGGCATCAATTTATGAAACGTTTTGAGAGGGATGACGTAGGAAGCTTTAACAAGAATGCGACGGTTCTTTTTACTTTTAATAAAAATTAAAAGTAATAACGTATGTATTTTTATTGGTATAGGTATATATAATGATATTGCTGGTGGCACTTACTTGAATTCAAGAACGATTTTCAATATTTCTTCATCACTGTCCTTGAGGAGGTGCTTGTAGTCTCCGCCAGCATGCCATGGGTAGAATGAGTGGTATCTGCGAAATAGCACACTGGGTGTAACTAAAATGAGCAACTATAATTTATATTAATAATACCAATTAATAAAAGGTTTAACCATAATGATGAGCTTGACAAAAAACACACAGCAGAACAACAGGACATATTCCCTTCTTACCGGCGCATAGTTTATTTTATTAGCAATTATATTGTCAAAATCTTGACAAATTCTTTAGGAACAGAGGTTTCAAAAGGTAACATTGAGCTGGAAAAACAAAATATCCACCTCAACTGGCTGTGTTTCGCCCTACTCTTATATTCGTGAGGAGTGCAGAAGCTGCTACAGTATTACTGATGCAAATGTTATGTTAAGAAAGACAAGAGATGATATGATACTAAAGACATAAGTATCCTTATTAGGAAAAAGGATAGAAAAAGCTGTGGTGGCCTAAAGGCGCTCCCTCACCGCGAGCATTCGCCTGTAATGTAAAGGTGTGTCCAAACATAAAGCGGCATTCGAGCGCGGCTGCAGCGCGCGGCTTGCCGCGCTATGATTGGACGACTGCCGCGCGCGGCAGCCGCGAGCTACCTGCCGGCAAACTTGTGTCCCGCGAATGCCGCGCGTAGCTGCCGCGCACCTCGCACGCCGTGTTTGGACACACCTTAAGAATCCAAGATTCGATTTCGAGCATTACATTACAATACGAGCATTAGGCTGCGATTCCATCAAAGATGTTCGAGGTAGCAAGGCATGCGTTCTAGTGCCTCCGAGTGCGTGCGAGTGCCTTTGAGTTCCTGTGAGTGCCTACGAGTGCGTGCGAGTGCCTGCGCCTGCGATCACTCGCAAGCACTCACCGTATTTTAAGTGCTGAACGTGAGAGGAACATTCGATAATTGGACTTTTAGGATATAGCGTGATTATATGGATGGTGACATAAAAGATTGAAGACACTGACCTGATCATGTACAGTCCTTTCTTAGGGAATTTAGCTTTGTTGTGAACAAGCACGCGGTAAAGGTATTCGTCGTGTCCCCACGATATCATTAGGTTCTCCAGTCCGCAATGTGGCTCGTACATGCCGCATTCAGTGCTGAAATGGAAATTCAGATATTATAGTTGATGTAGAAGGGATATCCGAAGTCCTGGTACAAGATTGTTTTAGTTGTTGGTTCGCGGTTTGGTACTTTCCAGCTGTATAATATTATGGACAGAGTCAGGGGCACCACATTATTTTACCAGCCTGTATACTTTCTGGGTGATGCCTCCATGAACTGGTAGAAAAAATATTCGTTTTAAATACAAATCTAACGTATTATTATAAGTAGAGACTACAGCTCGGCAAACGTATTGTAGGACTCATCTGGTCAGATAGAGTGACGATCTGCGTAAAGAAATGGCATACTTTGGTGTCGGAGGCCAAAATCCACTTAGGATAGATAGACTAGCGAAGTAAGTAATTTTTGTAAGGTCAAACGACAACAAAGAAGCTGTGTAAGAAAGTGACCTTATAGAGCGACTAGTTTTTAACCGAATTTAAAAAAAGGACGAGGTTTCCGATGCGATTTTTTTTGTATGCTTCGCGATTGGCTCCGACATTATGAACCGATTTTGAGGATAACTTGGTATTGGTCCCATTTAAATATGAAGAAAATATTCCACCTCTAAGGGTGGCAAACTAGGGGATGAATCCAGTTTCAAGCATTTTCCGGTAACCGATTTCAATAAAACTCCTAGATGTTTACTACGAACTTTTGACGTCGGTTTTTTTTTCTATACAAAAGTTATAATTGTAAATTACATTTTTAAATTGTTAAATGTTAAAATAATCACCAACAATTTTTTTTAAACCTTTAAGTTTTATTGAAGATTTCACCACCATGATGTTCAATAATTTTTTTATTGTTATAATTATTAAACAAAGATTGAACACTTAGAAAAAACTCACTTCGATCTGGCTGCATTCGAATCAACGTCTCCTAGCAAACCATGCAAGTCGCTTTGCCAACGACAGTACCGGCACGCTATGACGGTTGTTTTGACAGATTACAATAGTGAGGTCAAATCTCAATTCATTATCGAAAAAAATATAATCAAATGCGAGTCGCATCCATAAGTTTTTAGATTTGTAACGAGTATTGCAAGGAGTAGCTGATTAAAAAGTTTTAATAAAACGAAAATAAAAATGTTTACTTAATATATCGTCATATCGAAACTGCTTTGTTTTGTATTGAGCTTTTACGCGAGTTTGCCGGAGGCAGAAGTTATGCTGGCCAGCGATCCCGTAAGTGACGATCGTATTAGATTTCATTTTTTAAAATTTCGAATTTCCAAAAACAAATTCCGAGTTGTGTCGTAAAATTATACATCCATAAATTTCATCCTATAAGCCATGTAACGAACCAACGGACCTCACGAATTTTTCTATGTATTTTTCTATTGTGCTTACTTGTACTTAGGATTGTACGTATCAGGGTTATCCTTGAAAGAATCGTCTCCGTAAACTATGGACTTTCCCCATTTACAGCCCATGGCGAAGGTGTCCCCTACCACGCACCATTGGGGCTCGTTGTAGAATGCCATCACCTGGAAAAAAATATATGTTTCATAGTCACGTGACGTGTGAACACGACATTCAAGATTCAATAACGAAAAGATCTATTTTAGCTTATCATTTCTTTGTTTATGTAAATACGCAAAATATTGAACAAAACAATTTATTTCGGCATTGAACCAGTACCTACTTATATACGTATAAAATTCTTTTATCAGAATTATAATTTGACGACTTCTGTGGCCGAATGGCTTGCTCTGAGGGTGCTGGATGAGTTTAACTTCTTCGTCTTTAAACGCAAATCCCTTACCTTCCCCAAATCATGTATCAGACCAATAAGATGGAACCAATCCTCATTAGGGTGGTCCTGCCGGATCTTCTCTGCTGTTTGAAAAGCGTGCACGATGTTAGGCAGGTTTGTATCAGGGTCTGACTCGTCCACCAGCGCGTTTAGCTTGATGAGAGACTCCTTTATTGTCGCTTTGAAATGGTTGAATTTTAGCCATTTGTCCATTTTTCCTAAAAAGGAGAAATATAAATATACATAAATAAATGTGTTACGGCAGTGGAAATGGGTGGACATTTGAAAAAGGTAAGCCGATGTAGAAGGTGCCCAGTTAGTTCTACATTTAAAGGTATAGTGTTGGGTAGGAGATGAAATTAAAATGAGTTTGAGGGAGTACCTCATTTGGAAAAATGAGGGGGTGCAATGTCCTACCTCAAATGAGGTGAGGTAGTGGTAAGAATGTTTGCACCTATGGCAATGACTCCACTGATAGGGAATTAAGCACATTTTCATAACTTGATGGTATCAATCAATTCGATAACTTAAGTGTTATGATGTAGTATAAATATATGCTAATTTTATTTAGCACTATGACAGTATGATTTTATTATGTAAAATCAGCTAAACAGCGGGCAGGGCATTGGTCAATCATTGTTGCATTTGTTGAATTCGAAGCAGTGTGACGTGAGTGAGGTTGTGACATGACTGGCTATGACTTGAGATGAGGTGTGAGGTGGAACATTTTTATGGCATGAGGTGTTGTGACAAACTGACCAAGCGAGTGGTACAAACAGTTGCCTCGTGTATGAGTAACTCAACACTAGAAAGGTAGTTTAAATTCATTGTCTTACTATACAATTAAAATGGAAATGTGCTGGCCACGTCGCCCGCATAGAAAGTGACAAATGGGCAATAAAAAATAACCACGTGGACAGTACCAAAAAATAGGAGGACCAGTGGTAGAACAAAATAGAGACGGACAGACGAAATAAACAAAGTAACTGGCAAAGACTGGATGAGATGATGAGTGATCATTATTGTTATTTTTATTATTTTATGTCGAATTCTTAAGTGAATAAATGAGGCTTTATTAATATTATTTTATTTTAAACTCTCGCCTCCTATGGCCTAAAAGACAAATATGTTATATATATAAATAATATGTGAGATATTCTCCGGGCGGTACTATTGAGATGGAAAATAAAATTCTTAGGCAAATCGTGTTATATGAATTCTCCGCCACTATGCCCTCCTCGTCATAACTAATGCATTTCCAATTTGTTCCAACCTCAGAAGTTTGTTTATCGGCTTTTTTATTCGATTTTTTATTACATCTATTGGCCAAGTTTTATTGAAATTGGTTACCGGATTCATCTCCCAGTTTGCCACCCTTAGAGGCGGAATATTTTCTTCAAATTTAAATGGGACCAATACTGAGGTACTCTCTTTCCAACAAAAAAAGAATCATCAAAATCGGTTCAAATGCCGGAGTCATCGCGTAACATACAAAAAAAGGGTCGAATTGAGAAGCTCCTCCTTTTTTGAATTCGGTTCAAAACGATTGTTTTATAAACATTTTTGTTGTCATTTGACCTTATAAGAATTACTTACTTCACTGGCCTCAGCGATCCGAAGCGTATTTTGGCCTCCGATACCGAATCATCATAAATCATTATGTATTTTTCTTTATTATTATTATTAATTCAAACTCACCTTTAACAAAATCCACAGTCATGTTAGTATGCATGTCATAGTAAGTCTTGCGCACGCGCTCCTTGATCGGATCCTTATCGTCGACAGAGTAGTCGCGGAATGCGTCTATCGGCTTGCCGTTGAACGCCTCCTCCGGACGCAGTTTAGCAGAAGGGTCCAGTATTTTTACTGGAGAATCCTACAAAATAACATTCATCTTTATACGTAGATAACGCACAGACACTCAACATTAGGGAAACCCTGTGTCGCGGGTGCCGTGGACACACACGTAGACAACCACAAATTACACCCAAACTCACGAGAAAAATAAATGTAGGCCATACAAATATTTCTCCCGGCCCGGGAATCGAACCTGGGACCTCTGCGTGGCAGTCCGACATGGTAACTGTTTGGTCACGGAGGCAGTTAAGTTAGATGACGTATTTCGATTATTATTATCCAACGGCCCCCTCGAACCATTTTGAAGCGCTAGTGCAATTCTACTGAATTTAGTAGATTTCATATAACAATCCACAACATGAAAACAATGACCTACTATTATCAGCCGACGTGCTACCCTCACGCACAACCCTTAGAACACAAACTTCCCGCACATACTTTAGTAACAGTAGAGCTCCATGTGAAAGGGTTCGTCCAGGGAAGTACTGTCACTTTACCTATTTCTGCCGCCAAGCAGTAATGTGAGCATTACTGCGTTCCGGTTTTGAAGTATAATGGGTGCTGGTGAAATATGAGGCATATGGAATTTCTCATCTTATGTCTCAGGGTGACGGGCACAGTGGTAGTGCCCTTTAAGATCTTTGTGATTTAAATCTCTGAGTGACACTGCAACTGTTGTGAATAGGCGTGTAACTTGCCACTTGTTCGTCCCGTCACTTGATATTAACACGTAGCAGTGGAATGTATAAGGATTCACGCAGTAAATTACTATACTGCTCTGGCCATACAGAGGCGGCCGCGAAAACGTTCCGGGTGCGGGAATTTTTGTAATGTACGAGTTGTAGTGTTTAGGAGTGGTCAAAAATTGTTTCTAACTTTACCTCAGAGTATGATTGAATAACAAATTTATCGCACTGGATTGTAGAAACGCAATTATAATAAACACAACACAGGGCTCTCCATGCTAAGCAGGCGGATTGGCGATCGCATTAAAGCAAATAACACAGGTGTTCTTCAGGTTTTATCTTGGTGTCCATAGTGGAAAATATCCACTCTAATTAGTAACCAAGAAACATACACCTGAACGTGGGTCTAAGAAGTCCCTATTCCGCTAGCACAGTGGTTTAAGAAAAAAACTCACAGGTTTTGGCTTCATGGTATCGGATAACCGTGTCTATCTCTTGAAAGGACAGAAGTAACTATACTGCTCATGACGAGCGCCGCGTTAAATGAGATCTCCTAAGCTAATTATCATTATCTGAGGTCACATGCGCCATAATATGGTCAAAGGTTATCGTGACCACGTTGGCAGATAAGATGATGGCGAAATTATCGCAATGTCAACCCATGTACTGATAATATAAACGATTATTGAACAAAGATCTAATAGATTAAGGACCTCAGTATGACTATGCTTTGGTAGCCCAAGACAGTTTTTAGCAGCAGTAGCTCCTTGTGAAAGAGTTCGTCCAGGGAAGTACTGACACCTTACCTATTTCTGCCGCCAAGCAGTAATGTGAGAATTACGGGCACATGGGACTTGTCAACTTATGTCTCAGAGTGACGGGCGCAATGGCAGTGACCCTAAATCTTTGCGATTTAAAGCTCTGAGTGGCACTGCAACTGTTTGGATGGGAGGGTTTTGATTTCCTTCGTGAGCGGAGAATTCGCGTCGTTTCTGACGGCAGCATTTCGAGGTTCGTGAATGTGAACGCCGGCGTACCGCAGGGATCCGTCCTATCTCCCACGCTTTTCCTTCTGCATATCAATGATATGCTTCCACTTGGGAATATTCATTGTTATGCAGATATATTACGTCGCTTGGTATATTAAAAAAAAAGTTTTAGTAGCAGTAGAGCTCCAAGTTCTTTACCTATTACTGCCGCCATGAAGTGAGCATTACTGTGATATAAAAAAAAATAACTTAACTCAAAAGTTTCGTTATTCCTGAAACTGAAATCAACACTGTCGAGTTTTGAACTAGCCTAAAAAAATCGCGAGACTGTTTAATTACTTCTTTAATAAAATTTCGAGATCGCGACACCCAGGATGAATAGCTTAGTAGCTGCTAGCCCTTTGGTCTTCCATTCAGGTCGGTAATTTCGAAACGAAAGGCACTGGGAACTACAGCTAGTGGAATTTACACAGCGCCCATCCGACAAGTTTTCGTCTCCGAACATTGCAAATACGAAGCCGTTAACCTGGTATCTTTGGCTTTTCAATTTTTTGTTATTTTTTTTATATTACTACCAAGTGACGGGACGAACAAGTCGTAGGATTGGTGGTAAGCGAGTTGTAAACTGCATTGATCGGAGGGACACTGCTACTGCGCCTGTCACCCTGAGACATAAGGAGACAAGTCCCATGTGCCTTCTCGGCGGCAGAAATAGGTAAGATGGCAGTACTTCCCTGGCCGAACTCTTTCTCTCTACTGCTAATACGGTTATAATACGGTTTCGAGGATAGCCTTGCTGGTGTTGGGAAGGTAACTGTGGTACATCCCTGGTGTTATTGAGGGAGGGAGTTTTTGGCAGTAGTTTACCTCACTAACATTGCGTCAGGTGTTAATAATTTTACAAGAGATCTGTGAATTAGTCCGTGATATGATTTTCCATTCGTTCATTGAAAATAACTCAAGGATGCGATTCGTTTATCTATACGAAATATAAAATAACATATTTTTTAAAACGTATTTTTATTGTATTCGCACAATACATCCGTAATACATATTACGTAATTATTAGTTAGTGTAACAAAATATTTACGTCACGTTTTGAATAATAATTAATACGACAATTGTTGTTGTAAGGAGTGATGGTCATTATTACTCGGAGTTGTTAGTTATGAATATGGGTGGCTTTAAGAGTCGATACCGATTTAAAATTTTTCCCGTATTGAATCGATTTTATTGCACTGGTCGAGCGGTAGGGAAAAATGTATATCGTATACTTGGTCTATTTAATTCAGTCATCATCATCAGCCATATGACGCCCAGTGCTGGGCATAGGCCTCCCCCAACGATCTCCACGACGATCGGTCCTGAGCTACCCGCATCCATCGGCTTCCCGCGACATTTACCAGATTGTCGGTCCACTTGGTGGGGGTCCTATCCACTGAGCGTCGTCCGGTGCGCGGTCGCCATTGCAGAACCTTACCGCCCCAACGGCCATGGGTTCTCGTAGCTATGTGCCCCGCCCACTGTCACTTCAGCTGAGCAATTTTTAAATTTAGTTCAGTCATTGACTTACAAGTATATGGACGTCGGGTCTGCGCTAAAAAGTGTCCGAACTTATAGGGCGTTAAAATCGTATACAGAGCGTCATTCACGCTCTAGTCTTCGTTTGTTCGACTGACAGCGAAGCAAGCAAAATTAGACAGTACTGCGATGACATTACAATTTAAATTCAACGTTTTAGCTTTTTCATATTCCTTGAAATGTCACTACGTTTAAATAGGTTGTCTTGGGACATTTTTTTCGTGGTTTTTGTATTAGACCCGTCGTCCATTTATTTGTAAATCAATGAGTTCAGTAGGAAAAAAATATTGTAAAATTTCGAGGTAAGTTTGTGTTTTTTTCTATCGTGAAAATTCTTAGGGATATTTTCAGACCGTGTAGAATAGGTGTATATCCTTAATTTTACTATATATTTGTTCCAAGGTGATTGGTGAAACACTTTCACTGTTATGGGGAATCAACCAAAGCCACTTGAGGTTGTATAGACTCATAAGAGCAGAGAAAGACCATTGAAAGTATGGATGGTATGTCATCATCATCAACCCACTGATACGTCGCACATGCTGTGCACGTGCTTCGCTTGGGGACATCACATATTTTGCGGACTTCATTACGATGTTTTCCTTCACCCAAAAGCTCATAGTAAATTTACATTTAAATTTCACATATACATTTCAAGAAGCTCACAGGCTCACGGCCTCTGCACCGCGAGCTTTTGATGATGGTATGTACCCACATGAAAAGAATGAACAACGAAAGGATATAACTTGCTGCGACGATCTCGAAATAATGGGATAAGGGCAGGAAGATGGTGACAATGTTGTTATATGTATGTTATTCCATATACAAATAGGTATATCATAAAAAATATTTTGTTTTAATTAAATTGTAAATTAAAAATTACTTTCTTATATGTATTTAAAATACGAGACACAAAATACTTTCAAAATATAAAAACAAAATACGGTATTTTGATATTATTTATTTAAAACATTTGAAACACCAATCACAAATTTTTGTAAAGTTACGTAGTTGAAATATCAATTACAAAATACATCAATGTCAGATATTTGAAACACGATTACAAAATATCTTTTTTATAAAAAAAACAGACCTCAAAAATTCGTCTATTTGCCAAGTTTCATTGGGTGAAATCCAATAAAAATAGAGTGATCGCGTAAAATACGTACAAAGAAATACAGTGGAATTGATTACCTCCTTTTTTTGAAGTCGGTTGAAAATACATTTTTACGTAATAATTACAAAATACGTATTTATATCTCAAATACATATTTCAATTATAAGTAATTCGAATACTGCCTTCATTGTAACCTACATTATAATTATAGAAATGCTGCCTTCATTGTAACATTATAATTATAGAAATGGTAATTAATGTATTCTAAACTATAACAATAAAATAATTAAGTAAATAATCCTTTAACACATTTTTTATTCGTATTTCTAACATAAATAACTGACCTAACTACATAATAGTACATTATGATATAAGTGCGGTAAGTTGAAAATTACAGCCGAGGCGGTATTGCTAGCCCGAGCCGTAGGCGAGGGCTATAAGAAAGCAGAGGCTGTAATTTTCAAAGCGCACGTATGTCATACGACGTTTTATAACATATTTGCGAGGAAATAAATAAGACTCTGACTTTCTTAAACGAATAAATCTTTAATTACTTGTTAAAGCAGTTATAGAAATTTGAACAATTTTTAAAAGTGATTGTTACGTTGCCAGTTGGCATTTTTAATGTTGTCAAGTTATTATTATTAGTTACAATCTCCCCAGTCTCTCTCTCACTCTCTTGAGTGAAAGTAGGAGAAACGAGACCACAGAGTTCTGCAGTCGGTGGAGGCGGCGGAGGCGTTTGCGGCTGCGGCGACGATGGTGGAATGTACGCGTGTGTGCTCGTAGATGGTTGAAAGTCAACACTTGACTCCAAATTTATGTTCCTTGTAATGCGAGAGCTAATTTCTTCTTTATTTCTTATCGAGTCTTCTATGTATCCTTCGGCTACATTGCTTGACCGCCATCCTCCGTGGCGTTTTAGTGTCAATAAGTCCGCACCTGAATCGGCGAGCAATGTAGCCGAGGACCTTCTGAAACTGTGCCCTGTGTATTCATGTGCTTGAGGCAAATTTAAGAAAGTGGCAATTTCTTTCGGCATTGCTCCCAATTTATTAATGCCAATGGGTTGGTTAGTGCATTTTCCATTTTGGTAATTTTGAAAAAATCTGTTGGAATTAGCTTTAGTTGAACGAAGCGCTTCGTATTTCTTCACTACGTCGTAAAAAGGCCCCTGTATTGTGAACGACCTTGGAATTTTATTTTTTGTGTTTTTGACCTGTACAAGAAGAACCCGCCCATGGTTCTCGACATCATTAGTTGTTATGTTTGCCAACTCTTGACGTCTACATGCACCATTTATACCGAATATTAATACAACCTGAAAAGAGATAAAAAGAACGTATAAACACCTATATTGTAAAGAAATACGAAAGTGAAAGAAATTAATAACAATAATTTAGTTTCAACTGACCTTTGTTGCCAAATATCGCCAATCCGGAGCTTCTTTTAGGAACTTCTTGATATTGTCAGCCGAAAGTACTTTCGACTTTTTACTTACATGGCCATCTGAGCGTCTTTTTAGAAATGCTATCAAGTTGGAGTATGACTTGATATCAATACCATGGTTTGTTTTCATAGTGCTTTTTAGCATTGAATAGTAGCACCACAATGAGCTTGACTTATATTTTTGAGAAAGTTCCATGAAATAGGCTAAAAACACATTTTCTGAAAATGAATTTGCATCTTTGCTTGTTTTCCATATGATGAAATTTTGATACGCTTGTAAGTATCTATCGGTCGATTTTTCAGGTAAGAGGCTTAGAGTAGCCTTCTTCGCTGCGTTTAAGACTTGTGGCGGTGTCAAATTAACAAATTCATCACTACTTGACGACATTTTCAAATAAAAACAATACAGCGAAAAGAAAAAGCGCGCGAAATAATTTTTACTTGTCCACAAATTAGCCATGCGCGCGCATCAACGTTTTTTTTTTAGGCAAAGGTATAAAAATAGCCAGTATTACTAATTAAGTAAATTAATATTTTTGTGTTTTTGTTACAGATAAATGTTGTAATTTGCTATCAAAATTAATTAAATGAAAGAATTAAATGTTTATTTACTATATTTTATCTCCCAAAGTTAATTTTATTCATAAAATATTGACCACTTTTCTAACGTAAAAACTCTTTGCAAAGATTTAAAAAAGTATCGTTCATTTTTAGACGGAGCATCTTAAAAAACCGTGCATGTTACTTTATTAAAAAAAAAACTCGTGCGTTTTACATTACAATAACGCACTTGTGCGTTTTACATTACAATAACGCACAAGTGCGTAATGAAATACATTACGATATTGAAATTGGTGTGATTTCAGCCACTTTACGAGCAAATATGTTATAAATCAAATTATAATGCACCTTGTCGTTGCTTTACTTTCTTAAACTTCTATCTTAAAGCCATTGACTTACAAATAAATGGACGACGTGTCTAATACAAAAACCACGAAAAAAATGTCCCAAGTCAACCTATTCGAAATTTAAATTGTAATGTCATCGCAGTATCGCGCTGTCAGTAGAACAAATGAAGACTAAAGCGGAGTTTGGCGCTCTGTATACGATTTTAGCGCCTTACAAGTGCGGACACTTTTTAGCGCGGACCCGACGTCCATATAATTGTAAGTCAATGCTTAAAGCACAAAATTACTGAAATGCAAAAAATAGATTGTATATTACAAATTTTGCAGTCTGATTTCATATCACATTTCCTTCATATTCACACACTGGCTTTTATCTATTCTCAAAGTAATGCATCCAAATTAACCACCTTGAAAAGAAATTTAAAATAAATAGAAAGTTTTGCCATCTCCTGAATAATCAGAAAGTAAGATGACCTACTATAGAATAAACAATTCAAAACTCGCAGATACCGCAAGGTATGTACTTCTCTATAAGATTTTCGTAATAAGGCCAAAGAGCTTTGATGTCTGGCACATGCTCGCTCTTGGTGTAGAGGTCGTATTTGCTGGAAACATAGAAAACGCTTCATGAAATATTTTTTGTACAAGAGTGTTGTGCAGAAATTTTAAGGACTCATCACACTTATCAGATAGGCTTGAGCCGGTCAGAACAATTATGTTTCCAGTCGATTATGTGAATACAACTTTTAAATATTTTATTTTATTTTGACTTATTGGAAAGCCAACGGCTATCTTACAGAGTAAAAAGTGAAATAACAATGGAGCTAATCGTAGGTCCTCACCAGACACAGATTAAGTTGATTAATGAGCATTGAATTATAACTATATAACTACTATCTGTACTACATTTACGTAACACTTAGTAATTACCTACTAGACAAAAAACAAACTAATAATAAGACGCTTCACCGATGCAACACTAGTGTTAAAAAGGTCAATATCGACCTGCTTGGACAATTCTATAAGGATTATTAACCATACGTATTTTCTAAGGTCAAGGTTTTTCAAAATCTATAGAAAATGTTCCTAGGTATTTAAAAAAATTACATAAAGCATGGACTTGCGCGACCGCGCTCTCAAATCGCCAAGCGGTCGCTGCGCTGTTGTTGTCTCTGCGTGCACGCATTCAATTATATTTCGTCGCTTCATTCTCGATATAATGTTAACCAGGTCCTTTTAGAGTGGGAAGTAAAACTTATTAGGGAGTTTCAGAATCTTTATTTCTCATGGAGTACCTATATAACCAGAAATAGAGACGAAGTGTCATTTAATTTGTTTGAAAACTATTCTGCCATATCGTTACTGTGACAACTGCGCTCCGATTGGCTAGCCCGAGTTCGAATCAATTGACGGGTGTCGTCAAGGGTGTCGTCAACTGTTTCACTTCAAATCGACCAGTCAACTTGAGCTTTGCTATAATGGACGAAAATTACAAAATTACATATTTAATATTTAATTACCGATGAAATGTGATTCGGTTTGTTTTGTAATTAGATGTTTTGCTGTTTTTCCCATGCACAAACAGCACGGCATTGTTAGAGATATTATGTTTATTACAATATATACAGAATATTTTTTGGAATATACAGAGACGTACACACAGGTTAATAGTTGGCCTATCCATATTTCAGTGCTTTTTATGTTTTTATATTATGGCCCTTATTTCGTCTCTATTTCTGGTTATATACTCGACGTTACTTCTGATATGACGATGTCAAGGGAGAGAGGGTGTTGATTATGTATTCGAATGAAGCGACCATGAAGCGACTCATATAATAGTGATCGAACTTCACTTCAAGCAGTTCGTTTGATCATGTATTATTTTTGTGAAATTATTCCACTACTTTGTCATAATTATTAATACAAAAATCTGGCACGTATTTTCGTGTTCGAATCCAGCCGGATCGAAAGAATTTTTGGACATGGACAGGCGTGTTGCTTACTACCAGGCGCGCAATCCGTCACTCAGTATTTTATTATAAAACACATAAAATAGGTTTGTAACAGCCACTGGAATTTCGTAACATCTAAGGGCGCGTTTCCATTATGTCGTGACGACATGGTGACGACAGATAGTCGTGCAGTTTAAGGTGTCGTGTCTTGTATATTTAAATGAAGTTGTTCCCACATAGAACAACACGATTAACTATCGTTCACGACTTTTTTGACGACTGTCGTGAAAATGGGAAGAGCTAGAACGCCAGTCGTCTGAACATAAATTAAACGTCACGATAGAAATGCCACAACAGATAATTGCAACTTCTAACGATTCTGTCGTGCAAACGAGAAGGCGGCTGCCGTGAACCGATAAATTTATTCGAACACGACGGTCGCTCAACAATAAAATAAACGTCCACGACACAGTCACGACAGATCACTTTTGCTAGATTAGGCGATTTTTCCCCACTTAGGATACTTTGAGGGGTCGCGCAGCGATAAAAAATTGATCGGCGACTCGGTGATTTAGGCTGTGTTAGAAATAGGAAAAGGCGATTTTAGGCTATTTAATTTAATGTCTGGGGAATCACAAATTTTATTGGGAATTTTGTGGGAGAATGGAGTTGTAATATAACTCATTTGGGGGTTTGAGTAGTTCGGCGTGTGGGGAATTGCTGCCGGACATTGGGAAATATGAACTCTTATTTCCTCAATTCCCCAATGTCCGGCAGCAAGCAGAATTGTAAAATTGTTTTTCTTCATTTTTAAGGATTTTATGGCTTAGGCAAATATCGGAACATTTTAGACGCGACAATTGTCCAACGATAAATAAAACGTTACAACATAATGGGAACGCGCCCTATGACGTTAGATATTAATTTCTGGACCATGTGAACTGAATGTCATTCAGGTACATTTTTGTCTGACTTACTTGAACTCCAGCACCCATTTTAGGGTCTCTTCGTCCTTCTCATTGGTAAGGTGACGGTAGTCGCCGCCTGCATGCCACGGATAAAATGAATGGTACCTGCAATTGTTAATTTATTCATGCTTACAACTCTAGAACACGTGTAATGTACGTAACAAAAGGTCCGTCTACTCGTATATCTCACCTTGCGAAAACCAACAACTTTCGAAAAAACGTCGTCGCTAACGTCATGTTCATTTATTTTATTTTTAACCGAGGAGGAGGTTCTCAAATCTACTGCATTTTTTTACTACGGCATTTGTGAACCGATTTTGATGATTCTTTTTTTTGTTGGAAAGAGGGTACCTCAGTATTGGTCCCATTTAAATTTGAAGAAAATATTCCACCTCTAAGAGTGGCAAACTCGGGAATGAATCCGGTTTCGCGCATTTTCCGGTAACCGATTTCAACTTGAAACTTGGCAAATAGATATAATTCCACGAACTTCAAACCGACTTCAAATAAGTTGGTATTATTTTAATTTGTTATAATTGTCTTGGTTACTTGCTCTAAAGGTATAGAAGCAAAACCTCTACTTTGCAATAAACTGGCACGTCGAAGAAGATTCACAACCTTCGGAAAACATGTGAAGTCTCCAACCCGCATTGAGCCAGCGTGGCGGACTATGACCTAAGCCCACGCCTCAGAGTACCCGTGCCCAGCAGTAGGATTTATAAATGGGTTAATGAAATGTGTTCCAAATCTGTAGATTCATGTGTAGATACAAATCTGACAATTTTTTATTCTTTGCTTTGGTAGAAGATCTGTTATCTACTGCAATTTTTAAATGGAGCCTTTAGAATTACTTTAAAATCTAAGTTCGACTTCCTAGGACAGTAGTTTTGTCCTACGTTACTGTAAAACCATTTCCGGAAATCCGAAATTGGAAAACAGTAGTTAGTTAAAATTTGGAAGTTTAAACAACTCTATGTATGTCAATACTTGTACCTATATCTATACATGTATCCATAGATTTGGAACAACTTTTTCCGACCATTGATAATGATGAAACATCGAGTATATAACCAGAAATAGAGACGAAATGTCATTTAATTTCTTTAAAAACTATTCTGCCAAATCATTACGGTGACAACTGCGCTCCAACTGGCCAGTCCGAATTCCCGAAACAATGGACGGGTGTTGTCAATTGTTTCACTTCAAATCGAGCAGTTTAACTTGAGCTTTGCTATAATGAACGAAAATTGAAAAATTACATATTTAATATTCAATTACTGATGAAATGTGATTCCGTTTTTCCCACGCTACTGAATGAAACAGCCCCCCTTTGTTAGAGATATTATCTTTATTACAATAAACACAGAATATTTTTGGAATATACGGAGACGTACACGCAGGTCAGTTGTTGGCGCTGTACTATTTCAGTTTTCGAATTTGTGATTTCATTGTAAACGAGAGTTGATATTTAAAAGTGATATATGGCCCATTTGCCTGATGAGTGGCCAGGAATGGATGGCCTTCATTTCGTCTCTATTTCTGGTTATATATACTCGATGTGATGAAGTGACATTTTTACTAAGCACACGCTTCGATTGACTCTGTATGATGCGCTACGCGTTTTCTACTGCTACTCGCTCACCTGATCATGAGCAGTCCTTTCTCGGGAATCTTGGCGTTGTTGTGTTTCAGGAACTGGTAGAGGTATTCGTCGTGTGACCAGGAGATCAGCAGCTTCTCCAACCCGCAATGAGGTGAGTACATGCCGTATTTAGTGCTGGTAACAAAATATAATAATGCTATAAATGTAATGAATTATGATATGTTGTGAAGTCTGTGACTTAGTCGTTAGTATTCTGCTTCGTGAGAATTTCCGGTCAAACTTAGTAATAGTATAAGACAAATAGTGTAGCTCCATACAAACGATGGACCAATAGCTCAAAACGACAGCTAAACGCGTTATAAGATAGCGTAGTCGGGTACGTAGTAATGTAACTATTGGTAACTATTGGTATACCAGATGTCGCGACGACTACCAAATAGCTATTTGTAACTAATTTGTTTTACATTGGCAGAATGCAATTTATCAAAACTACTCTAATTTCTAGTGATAAATAAATCAACTAGATGGCGCTTACTACACAGATTTATAAGGATAGTGCCGGCTATTCTTTTGTTTACGATTAGCGCCATCTACCCATATTAGGAAGCGTTAATTTATAAATTAGTTTGTAACATACAATGCCATCTATTAACACGCATATTTGTCAAAATTTGGAAAATAACTAGCTCATGTATAACGAAGAGAGTATGGATTTAGTTACTATAGCTTACAAACAAATAATAAACATAACAAAAGGATTCAATTATTATGTTATAAAGGTTACTAAAAAACTACACAAAAAATTAAAAAATCAACAACAACCAAACAAAAAGTCAACCACAAAAAAATAAAATCAACAGCGAAACGAAATTTTGTACAATGACTCAACATCGTGCAAAACTCAAAATAAAAGAACACGACTCGCATAGGTAATTGTAATGCAATTTGCACGCGTATTGACGTAAGATGCACAATAACAGATTCGATCTCTGATTCTATGATATAAATCTGTGTGGATAAATATTCCGTTTTACGTATGAAGTAGTTGGAGTAATTTATTTTTAACTTTATCATTTCATTTTCTATCTACTTAGTATATTGTGATTTCTACTTAAAATTTAAACTGGAACAAATGTTGTTTGATTTTGGTATATTATAACAAATTTACTATTTCTTTTCGTAACCTGGTCGTAACGTAAGAATTTGAAATGTCACAATACCCACCCTATGTGAAATTGACTTTAAATAATGTGACAACCCTACGTTTCGAGCGACATATAGGCGGCACTATAATGTCTTATTATTACTATGGTATAGCAGCTAGCTATTATGATCTTACTTGTATTTAGGATTGTAAGTGTCGGGGTTGTCCTTGAAGCTCTCTGGGCCGTAGACGATTGAGTCAGCCCACTTGCAACCCACAACGAAAGTGTCGCCAACGACACACCATTGCGGCTCGTTGTAGAACGCCATTACCTACAATAGACATCTCTAATAACGAAATTTATAATAATATCATAATCTAACCAATATAATATTGAGAAGTGATGATGACATGTGGAGTAAGGTGATCACCGAATGGTGGCCAAGTGGTGGCTATAGAAACGTGATACGCCCTACATGTGCCGCAACGTGGGTGCCCGGCCTCGGAAACGTGTACATGACATGCTTCGGTCAAAATTCCTTCATGAAGGTCGACAGATGTTGAGTTGGTACTCTCAACACAAATTAATTAAAAACCGAATTAAAAACAGCTCGAAATTCAAGGTAGCACTGGGTGTCACCCGTATGTATGTACTATATTTACTTACCTTATTTGGATGGAATTATACTATAACAATACGTAATAAGCATGATAAGCATGGAAAATTTATAATACTAAATGACAAGAGTCATTTGTTTCAAGCTAATAACGCAGAGTTTATCGAAGCGATTAATTAGGGTTATCTTCAGATGGCAATAAAGCCAGTATTCTCTTGTTGTTTAAGGGATCAGCTACATTGTTTCTGTACGCTTCGGTAAAAAGTTACAAAGTGCCAGTCTTCTAGTAAAAAAACCGGCTAAGTGCGCGTGGAACTCGCGCACTGAACGTTCCGTGGCAGATTTAATCCAGTCTTGTCGAGAGTCCATGGTCAGCCGTTTGGATTTGACACTCAAGGCAGTAGTTGACTGGGGCGATGCCAATCTTGTCAAATTTAACGCTACTAAAACGCAGGTGTGTCTATTCTCCACAAAACGGAGTCCCTTTGAGCTGACTCCGACTTTTCGTGATACTCGTATATCCATACCGATAGCCGACTGTCTCTAGCTATTTGGAATGGACCTGTAGTCCAATTTGAACTTCGGCAGATACATTGAATCCATGGCTAAAAATGCAGCAAGGAAACTTGGCATCCTTTCCAGTGCAGAGTGCAGCTTTATTTTACATCGGGACAGTTGCTTCAGCTGTACAAAGCACAAGTCCGATCGTGAATGGGTACTGCTGCCACCTTTGGGATGGCTCTGCTACATACCAACTGGCCACATTGGATTCAATTGACAACCGTGTCAAGAGGCTGATAGGTGAATTAGTGGAGGCGAACGTGCAGAGCCTTGAACGCCGCCGTAAAGCCCGCTCATCGGTATTTTACAGGATATATCACGGAGAGTGTGCGATGGAATTACACGATTTAATTCCCCTTTCCATCACCGGGGAACCAGTGGTGGGCTTGGGTTCCACCCCTATGTTGTGGATATTCCAAAGATTCGCACGAAACGTTACGTTTCCACATTTATATGGCTAATGGTTATGGAGTGGAATTCCCTGCCTACAGACTTGTTAGGAATAGGCATTATTTCGGCGTACATGCTCCATCGTCTACCTCATCGTCACTTTCCATCAGGTGAGGCTGAGGTCAAATGCGCACTTACAATAAAAAAAAATCATCATCAAAGTCAATCCATTACAAGTTCCACTGTTATTTGCAGGCCTCTTGTAAGGAAAAAGCTTAGATCATAGGTTCTCAAACTTTTTGGCTCACCGCCCACTTCTTCTTCTTCTTAGTGTGCCGCTTCTCTACGAAGGTTGGTAACTATCATGGCTATTCTCATTTTCGAAGCTGCTGTACGAAAGAGGGAACGTGTGCTAAGGTGGAACCAGTATCTCCGATTCCTCAACCACGAGGTTTCCCTTCTGCCAAGAGTACGCGTTCCTTGTATTTTTCCCTGCATTATTATTAGTTGAATAATCCGGTATCTCTTATTCCTCCTTACGTGGCCAAAATACTGCAGCTTCCTTTCCTTTACAATTCTGAGTATTTCTAAATCTTTTCTCATACGACGAAGAACCTCAACATTGGTGACCTTTTGTACCCACGATATGCCAAGCATTCGTCTGTACAGCCACATCTCAAAGGACTCCAGTGTTGAGCATAATGTTGGAGTCAAGGTCCAACACCATACCAAACAGCAAGATTCTGAAGACATAACAGCGGACCAAACGCTTATGGAGTTTAAAAAAAAGCATAAAATCTTTTTCATTTCCATGAAGGCACTTCGTGGCTGTTCGATGCGAATACGAACCTCTTGTGAGCTATCCCAGTGTTCATTTACGTAGCTACCGAGGTATTTAAATTGGTGTACGCGTTCTATTGGATTATGTTCCAAAGTCAAGTATTCATTCACTACTGGGGTCTTAGATACGATCATGAAGTTTGTCTTTTTTGTGTTGATTTTTAATCCATAGTTGTTACTTGCTACAATTACACGATTCAGCAGTTTTTGTAGGTCTGCAATATTCTCCGCAATCAGTATAGTATCGTCTGCGTAGCGTATATTATTAATAACTTCTCCTTTTATCACTATACCCTTTTCGGCTATATGTAGAGACTCTGTCATATTCTCTCTGCATACACATTAAATAAAACAGGTGATAATATGCACCCTTGTCTTACGCCACGTTTGATTTCAGTTTCTTTGGATAATTGAACTTCCACTTTTACCATTGCTTTCTGGGCCCAGTACAGATTGGTTATATATAACTCTAAGGTCATGTCTGGCAATTCCAATATGTTCCAGAATCTGCATCAGATGTTCATGGCGAACCCTATCAAATGCCTTTTCATAGTCTATAAGACATAAATAGATTTGTCTGTTCATATCCAAACATCTTTGAACTAAGATATTAAGACAGAAATGAGCGTGTCTTGTGCCTAAATTGTGTCTCTGATATGTATTCTTCGCACTTTTGATAGATACGATACCGCTCACTAGACAAGATAAAAAAGTTCAACGCCCACCATCACAAAAAAATAATAGAAAACACATATGTATTTATTGTCATATTAACTTAACACAAAAAAATCACAAAGAAAATAAGTTACAAATATGTGGTGTAGTTTATATAGATAATTCAGGTTTTTTTTCAAATACGGTAACACACCCTGGACGGCATCAACGCCCTCTAATTGCTTCCGAAGCCCCTACCGCCGCCCTAGAACTCTACAGCGCCCACTGGGGTTATGAGTTTGACGGCACTTTACAGAGCGTATGTGGACGGGTGTTATTAGCTTGTGGTACAAGTACTTTTGGCGTACGATCACGTATGGCTATATTGTACCAATCAGTCAAATTAAGACATTACAGAGGCTAGAAAGGTCCCACGCGCCATTCAAAACAACGACAGCATACATTAATTATTTTTAAGTTTTTTACATTTAAGTTTGACCGTGAACTTTTAAGTTTAGATTAGAGATTGACGTCATCGGAACCGAAAGAATGGGTAGCTTTATTAAATCATGAAGTAACTTATATTCTTACTACATTGTATTTAATTGCTCTATTTAATACACACGCATATCGATTCGCCCATTTACTTGTGAGGTAATACTTTTCTTATATTTTATTTTTATTAAAAATAAGTGCGCATTTGACCTCCATCTCACCTGATGGAAAGTGATGATGAGGTCGACGATGCAGCATGCACACCTAAATAATGCCTATTCACTCTTGCCTTGAAAAGGTCCAAGTTATAGCGTTCGGAACAATTCCGCAGGCAGGCAATTCCATTCCTTAGCCGCTTGCTATATAAATGTGGAAGCGAAACGCTTCGAGCGAATCCTGGGAATACGCACAACATAGGGGTGGAACTCCAGCCCACGACTAGTCCCCCGATGATGGAAAGTGGAAGGCGGAATCAAATTATGCAATTCCATCGCACACTCTCCGTGATATATCCTGTAGAATACCGATAAGCAGGCAGCTTTACGGCGGTGTTTAAGGTTCTGCAGCTTCGCCTCAACTAATTCTAAGTCATCTATGAGCCTCTTGGCACGCTCGTCTGGGGGGCGGGTCGGAGGACAACTGAGCTGCCCCTCCGTTGGCGCGGGAGCCCTGGCGCAAGCCAGGGCGGCCGCGCGGCGTCGTGGTGAATGTGCACCGACCTCATGGCGCCGACTCAACCGGCGGGACGTAAACCTGGGGGGCTTTTAGTGGGGTAGGCCCTCCAGTCTGGAGGGACAGTCGCCACATAACCCCCGAGTCTCCCTCAACTCTACGGCGGTGTTCAAGGCTCTGCAGCTTCGCCTCTACTTATTCCGAGTCATCTATAAGCCTCTTGGCACGCTTGTCTATTGAATCCAAGGTGACCAATACATCACTTCAGTAATTTTTACACGTTTTCATGACCAGTACCTACAGTATGACTAACGTACCTAACCATACGTTAACGCTTTTAAGTGTCCCACTGTCCCCAAAGTAAAAATATCCCGCTTTGACAAAACAGAACACACCTGACAATAGATCTCAAAAAATGACACGAAAGCGTGGCAGTAAGGAAGCCTTGTCGCCCGCAATACCAAGTGACAGGACGAACAAGTCGTGCGCCTGGTGTTGAGCAACACGCCTGTCCATAGCAGTTACAGTGTCACTCAGAGCCTTAAATCGCAAATATCTGAGGGACACTGCCACTGCGCCTGTCACCCTAAGACATAAGTTGACAAGTCTCATATGCCTGTAATTTCATCAGCACCTTTATCCTTGAAAACCGAAACACGAAACGAAATAGGTAAGATAACAGTACTACCTTGGATGAACTCTTTCACAAGGAGCTCTACTGCTACTAAACAGATTCCATTGAGATTATACTGCAATGACGATAATAACTAACAATCGATGTTGCCTTACTAAAACAACTTACTATACGGAAATTACTATAAAAATGTATTTTCTCCGAATCTCTGCAAAACGAATTACTCACTTCCCGTGAAAGTTTATTAAAATGCATATATAAGTTTATAGTTTATTACGGACGATTTCCTACTTGCCAATATTTAAAAATAAAAGGGAAAAAAACAATATCATATTGAATAAGGATTATTTTGGCCACATAGGGTGTGTCTCATTTTGAGTTAAGTAGATATCTTTTAGTTGTTTCTCACAATAATTAACGACGGTTTTATTGACGTGTAGAGAATATAAAATTTTACGTTCAGCAATAATACAATCTTGAATTTCACATATTTTTAGTTACAAAACCATTGTAATAGCAGTGCGATATCTTAATATTTATCTCGTTTAATCAGCAATTTAGTCTTCAAATTAAAACCATCGAAAGAAACGTACAATAAGTAGACTACGCTCTTGACATGTCAGCGACTTGTTACTGAATAGCAGAATACCCAAAAAATTCAACGGCGGTTGATTAGTAGTTTGGTAGCTAGCCACTGATGAGCTACTGTTAACTTTTAGCAGAATACCAAACATACAAAACCCTGCCATTGACAATCTATCGACACAGAACTAGGATGACTTAAAACATAATTTCCCAAAGTGGTCCCTACCAATTGAGCGCTGAAAATCCTAGCGGAGCGGTAGCAATTGCGGCGCGTTGATGCCGTCCAGGAGGTGCTTTCGCACTTGAAAAAAAAACCTGAATTATCTATATATACTAAACTACAAATTTTTTTGGTGGCAGTACTTTCCTGGACGAATACTTTGACATTGAGCTCTACTGCTAATAAAAAGTTGTGCGTCCGTACTGCGCGTGTATTGTTTTTTGGCGGTAATGAATCAGTGCGATGCTGTGGATCGTAGAAATTTAAAAACTAAACTTGACTACATTGATACTAAAGCAAATTTGCTCATCCGAAAACTATTAAAGCCAGCCTACCAGACTACACAAGAATAGTTCTTTTTTTGATCATTAAACATTTTGTAACTATTAAAACGTGTTTTATTTTTAAAAACAATAATGACGTCTCGCTATGACGGAAAAAAACAGTCACGTTATGCATGCCTGACATGTGCGGTGTCAGTCGATCAAATGAAGACTGACGCACGATTGTTCCTCTTTTTGCGATTTGTTTCTCTTTTTTTTGGACACTCAAGCGCGAACTCGCAGTCCCTTCCATTCTGTAGCGCGAGAAGCTTAGTGATAACGACGAGGCGACCGAGGGCATCGTGGTGAGTCTTCGGGATCACACAGCGCCCACAACACCTGGCCAAGAGGGTATGGACAAAACATTTAACTCAGGTGACATTCCTAAATGACCTAATGCCATATTAAAATCGAAATTTCACTAGTTTCACACTCTCTTCACTCCACGAGAATCGTGGCTCTGATTGGAGTGTCTCTATTTAAAGCAGCGTGGTGCCGTTTTCCAAACCCTTTGCCATTTCAAGAACGTTGCTTACCTTGCCCAAGTCGTGAATTAGTCCAGTCAACTGGAACCAGTCCTCATCTGGGTGGTCTTCCCGGATCCTCTCAGCAGTCTGAAAAGCGTGCACGATGTTGGGCAGATCGGTGTCAGGATCCGACTCGTCTACGAGCTCGTTTAGCTTTTCTAGAGCTTGTTTTATCGTTGCTTTGAAGTGGTTGAATTTTAGCCATTTGTCGCGTTTTTCTGGAGAATTAGTTAATTAAGTTAACATTGTTAAATAGTTAAGTTAATGTTAAAAAAATTTACGAATTAAGTTAACTAACTGGTTACGGTTGCGATTGTAAAGAAATTTACCCTTGATATAAAAAGGTCATATCAACAAAATGGCATCTTTTTATGAGCACGGTTTAAAGGTTCTACGAACGAAATTAGTCGAACGAACGAAATAACTTTTTATGCTTAAATAGAAGACATTTGCCCTAAAATATCGCATATACATAATTTGTTTTATGTAGTTCGTGCTATTTCATGACAACCGCATACGTCTCGCTTAGGGCTCTGTTTCACGATGCGACGTCGTATCGTGGAAATCTACGATGAGCAACGTAAAAATTCACGACACCACTTCGCCACGTCTTACGACGCACGGTACGATGTCGTATCCATTTGCCGCCATGTTGCAGTGCCGCATTCATTTGTTATTCAACATTTAAAGAGGACAGAACATTGAGGTTAATTATTTAATAACGCTAGCCGAGGAGCGTCCCGTACTATGGGACAAAACATCACAAGAATAAAAAGTCACGTCAGTCAAGTCAGTCAGTAATTTCCACGACACGACGTTGCATCGTGGAACGATGCCGCGTCGTAGCACGACGCGACGTTGTATCGTGTTTATGTGTAAGAGCAACGCTTTTAAATTTCTGCATTGCATTATACGAACATTTTAATAGATAATATTAGCTAATTGTCTACTATAACCATCGATATATGTATGCAATTATACAAAATGTACTGTATTAATTTAAAATATATAAAATGCAATTGAAGACGTTAACAAACCTTAAGAGTACCTACGTGAGTTGTTCACTTCCTATACGATCGCCATTTTGTTCGATCGAGTAGGGATGACTCGACCTTAAAAATAGGTAGGTATCCGACTGTTTTTAAAGAAACAGAAACGCTTGACGTCGAAAAGTGAACAACTCAAGTCCTTCTTGATACTGTGAAAGGGTTGTGTTGACTCAGTGAGTACCTACTGATATTCAACGATTAAAAATATTTTTTAGTATATGAAGTATACGAAACAGATTTCTCACAGATGGAGCAACAGCAAAAAAGTCGTTAAAAATCAAAAACAAATATCTGCAACAAGCGCATAAAAAAATTCATAATGTCCCCTAGTTCGTTCCGTGGCTTAGTTGGCATAGCGTCTGGTACGGTTTGCTGGAAGACATAGGTTCGAATGAATTTTTTAAGGATTTTTTTTGTTAGTGTTCGATCTTTGTATTAATAAAATTATAACAAACAAGTGGAGTAATTTCACAAAAATAATTGAATATCCATAAACTTAAAGAATACTTGTTAGTAGTTTTTGCTGTAACTCCGCTGTGTGAGTATAATCGGGTGTTTTGTCAAAATGTTTGTAAAATATAGGAACACTTAATAACCCTTGCTAGTTATTATAGATACAATAAAAATAGATACGTATAATAAACATTATATTTATCTTTAATGCACTAAATACAAAATGCCTTATTTAATGTATTGCAGACCCAAGTTACTCGAGCAATAAATTATCTTTATAAATATTGTTGCACTCTTTCATTTACATCTGCATAGGGGGAATACTATTAAATTTGTTTATCCCGTTTATTCCCCTTTTTGTAATATTAAGTAGTATGTAAATATATTTAAGAAAACTTTTT